ACTCCCCTTACTTGGAGTACTGTTTACAGTTATGGTCACTGCACCTAAAAAAGGACATTGTAGAAGTGGAAAAGAGCTGAAAAGGGCAACTGAAATGATCACAGAGCTGGAGCAACTTGCCTATGAACAAGTGTTACAACAACGGGGATTGTTTAGCATAGAAAAGGGTAAGGGAAGACATGCTAGAACTATACAAAACTATGCACAGTGTAGAAAAAGCAGAGCGGGGAGACTTTTCCCCTCTTCTTTCATTATAATAGAATTGCTTTGATCACCCCATGCAGCTGGCTGGCAGGAGATTCAGGACAGATAAGAGGAAGAATACACAGGGCATAATTAAATTGTAGACTTTATTACCACAAAATAAGATGGCTACACTATGGCTACACTATGCTGGCATCTTGGCTCTGCTTAGCACTGGAATGCAACATAGAAGCTGTCTTAGACCCAGGCAATTGGTCCAGTACTCTCAACCCTGACTGGCACAGAGTTTTTGTGCCCTAATTTTTTATTTAGTCATTTATTTTGTGGGGGGACATAATCAAATGTGGAACCTTCTGCACCCCTTGCACTCAGGCTTCGGCAAGGGGCGGCATAGAAATGTTTTAATAAATAAATAAATAAAATAAATGCGCACTGCCGAATCATGGCCTGTCTGTCAGAAATCTCTGAAACTGGATTAGCCCATGGACTGAAAGAGATTCACTGCTCCTGCAATAGTGCCATCTATGTATTTATACAAGGATACCCCCGAGTTCTCCACCCAGAGTATATAGACAGAAAAAAGCTAGTCACCCCTTGGCCAGAACCTCCATGATAAATCAAGAGCCAACCTTGCCCACATTTCTCTTTGGGAGCAGAATGGTCTCACTAAAACGCGGAGGTGTCTGTCCTGTCGGCCAGAAGCACCTGCCTACTATGAGCAACAGCACAAATTAGATACCACGTGATCCTTCCGAGCCTTTGGGTCACAAAAGGAGGGTTGTGTGTGTGTTTCAAGTTGCACTTCTTGTTCACAAAGCAAGGGCAGGGCTCACAGCAGCCAATGACTCAGCTGTGGAAAGCATGTACTCTGACAGAAAAAAGGTGGGCCACAGTACAGCTACGGACTGGTGGCCAGTTTCTCATGGGCCATGCCAGAGCTGCTGTTCGCTCACATTTTGGCCAAGAATGCCAGACTGTGCTTTGACGCAGATATGCACTTCTTAAAATTTTAAGAACGAGTGACTCAAAAGCACACCATAGAACTGAGTTATGCCATGAGCAATGCAAAGGATGGCTTTATGCTTCACAAAATTAATGGGGGGGGGGGGGAGTCTTATGATTTAAAAGGTCAGTATTCAGCCTCTGCTGTAGAATACACCTTCAGAGTCCTCTACCAAACGCAGGGATCCATCGGCAATTAAGGGACAGGGGTTGGCTGCAGCTAGAGCACTGAGGAAAACACCACTTCAGCCACTGAACCACTTTTCCCTAGAATCTGGTTCCTGGTTGCGGGGAGGAGGAAAACAGCCCCCCTGCATCGGTGGATGGAGGAATCCTAGCCAACATCTAACCACACACACATACATCTCTGGAATGTTCAGCATCTCAGCGGACAGGAAAGGCGAGGGCATGACCCTGGCTGGACCACTAAGTGGAAAACAAAAGGGGGAGGGGAGGGGGCAGCACAGCAAAAATATTGATGGAATTGCAAACAGCGAGGAGGGGAGGCAGATCTGCAGCCAAGTTTGAAAGGGCCCCAAATGTGCTCATCTGGTTGGCTGCCAAATTCCCAGCCCTACTGGAGAATCTCTACATCTGGAGACAGGCTTTATATGGCCGCTTTCTGGAACTCTGCTTCCCCCCTTTGCAATTTACAGAAATCTCAGACACAGCACCAACAAGCCAGACGGTCTCAGCCTGCACAAGGCAGCCGTGGAAACGGCTGCATCTGATCTATGGCCATCTGGCTGCCGGCGGCAGGAGCCCTTCCAGAGTGGCTGCATTCACATGGCTGTAGGCAGAACAGCATCAGGTTCACGTGCAGCAGGCTGCCTGGGAGCAAGCTTCTTTCATTTGCTATGGGAGACCATCATTCTTTTTCCACAAAGAAATCAAGTTCCCCTCCGCTCTTCTCTCCTATGATGATTTGCAAGTCTCCTGGAATTTTGGTTCTCTCTGCATCCCGAGCTGAGAGATGGTCACTTGGCCCAAACCTTCCAGCCTATGAGGGGATTTGAACCCCAGTCTTTCACTTCAAGCCCAAGTTCTACTCCAATTTCCATGGTGCACCACTGAACTGAAATAGATTGCATGCACACACATCAAGCAAAAGCCGCTCTCCTCCTCTCCTCTTCCACCTTACTTTACAGATGGAAGTTTATACTGGTAACAACTGCTACATCATAGCAACAGGTCATACTCTTTACATCAAGAAAACTGGGATTAATTTTTAGCTGTTAATTAATACAGCCTGTATTTTTCAGTGCAAAACAACAAGAGGTGTGTAACTTGAAAAGGGTAGTGTGCTTTCTTTGCTTTTAGAAGCTTGTTCAGTGAAATATACCAGATTTTAAGCCCCAAGCCTATATGAAGACAGAGTATTCCCCCATGGGCAGAGCCTGTCACACTGGGCAAGTACAACCAGCATCCATGGTTGATTACCTTGACAGTCTGTCACCTAGACATTCAACTTGCAACCTACAGACCCCTAGATATTAGAAAGGCAAGTACCAACATAGGTCCCACTTAGCAAATCACCTGTTCCCTTCTTACAGGCTGAATAGCATTAGTTCAAAGGCAGCAAACTGGCTCGCACTGGGCCTCAGCTCTGAATGCAAAGCATTAACTGCAGCACCTCCTGCTCCTTTCTCAGGAGCGACTGACTAAAAAATGCTAAAAATAAGGGTGACTTCAGGGCCGGATTTCAACATATAAAGCCCGAGGCTGGCTGAAACATAAACAGACACCCCCCATCACAGAGCTATCAATAGCAATAGCCAAAGCAAAAATGTGAGTGTGGTTCAAACCAGCTGATGCTGCAGGACAAGATGCCCAGAGTAGGGCTGGCAGATGGGCAGGGATCAAAAACCCAGCCAGGGCCATTCCCAGAAAGCCTTGGGAAGCGTGTGTGTCTTGACCTACTGTCACGTTTGTTCAGGTAGAGTCAGCTTGCAAGGAACAGTGAAGTCTTTCATCCCTATTCCTGTAGGGATTCTTGAAGGTTGGGCTCAGTTCCCAGTAGTGTAGCCAGCCAGAGAGAAGCTTTATTCAGGCAAGTTCCCAGACAGATTACAAAGTACGTTGGACTTGGGGGGTGGGGGAGAAGTGCATTTTTCATTTACAGGCCAAGACTAGCTATCCAAGTAGTTTTGGGAGGGAGGGGAGAAGGATGGATTGAGAAGACACCAGAAACGTTTAGCTAATCAAAGGTTTGGCACACCTTAACATCCTTGCAGTGCAATCTCCTGCTCCACTTCCTTTACTTCAGCGTTTCTCAAGTGGCTGAGCTCAGACGCCCCTCTTCAACTGACAGTACCCCCCCCCCGACAGCCATCTCCTTGACAGGCAAACACACAAAATTCTAACATACAGCTGCATGGCTGCAGCCCACCGCTCCTCCTAGAATGTTCAGCCGCCTCCCATCTCAGAGGCAACCCAGGCATAAAAGGAAGATGGAAACAGGACACCTCGGGTTCCTTTCACAGGCAGGCCATCCAGAAAAGTCTTGGTTACACACTGCCATGGGTTGGGGAAGGGCGAACCCATCAGGAATTCAAAGTCCACCAACTGACTGCAGGTGAAGACCCATGCCTCAGGGAGGAGAACCAACCGCCTCCTGTGTTCAGTGAATCATTCACTCACATCCCTTGGTGCTCCTGCAACTCCCCAGGCATCCACTTTGGGAACAGCTCCCACCTCTGCATCAGCTGACCTAGTCCCCAGTCTTCAACACCAGAGACTCGCTGTGCCTGCACACCCACTTTCTGCTATCTCATTCCCTCCCCATCCACCTAAGCCAGTAGGAGAACATAATACCTAAGTCTTTGCTGAACAGGCCTGTTGGCTCCCCGGATACAAAGGCCACCTGCCAAGCTGCTGGAGGTACCGTGTATTCTGCAGCTACATGAAACAAAGGCAGAAATCTGTGACAGACAGGAAATCCAGAACTCTGCACAGTGCAGCTCCTAGCACACCAAATGGCCAGGGTAGGTTTGGGAGGGTGTAGCTGGCTCTTGGCCAAACCCCCCAAGGTCACTGAATGGGAAAATGAGCCGGATTCCTGCTGCTGAGGCGGCTGAAGGCATCAGTAGGTGTACATTCTCTTGCCAGGACTAGTTCAGGCAAATGGCCAAGTTCACACACAAAGTTCTCCTTTGCTCACCAGCAACATCTAATGGCAATAATAAGAACAGCACAAGGCATGGCGAACTTCAGGCCTGGCAAGGCCCGGGAAGCAATAATGCTCTGTTCCATCTGGGCAAGATCCTGGTAAGGACTTTAAATATTTGCCTTGGCATGGGAGTTGGGAAAGGTGGTTACATCGCCCCCCACAAGGGAGCATAACCTCTAAGGGGTATACACAGGAAGCTCTGGTGTACTCATGCATCCCTGCAAGGTGCTACAACAAATGGGATGGCCTTGGTTAAGGGGACGCACCAACAACTGACAATCCCTGGGGCTCTAGATGCTGGCCTCACCCAGCTCAAGTTATTCTCGACTTGGCCCCCAGCCCCAAACAGAGCTTCAGCTGTGGGGTGGTATGGAAGTGAAATCCCTGATACTAATACTTCCCACTCTCCAGCCATCTGATATTTGGAGGCCCCAAACGCGGGACCTTAAGGAGCATCCCGCCCCGCTCTCCTTGGGAGTCTAATCCTGGAGCGCAGGCCAAGCCCTGCTATTCTTCCAGCATAGCAGCTGCTTTCACAGCTCCTCTGCAGCTTTCCCGGTGCTGTGCCATGCCACTTCCTTCAGTGCCAACTCCAGCTGGAGCAGCCCACAGACAAGACCACACACCAAACTGAGGCATTTATTGGTCATACTCTTATAACCCGAAGCATTAAAATAAACAGAACAGGGTGAAGAGGGGGAGCCACTGGCGGAGGCCTTCCTCACTGTGAAGAAGCCATGATGCTGGAGACGCCTGCAAGGAAGGAGAAAGCATGAGAGGGGTTCAAAGTAAGACTAAGACTTTGACCAAATTGGACCAGCAGCTTGCTCAGAGGAGTACTGTGACCTCCAGGGAAAATCAGGGGAAAAGAAAGCTCTTTCCCAGCTCTGCCAAGACCCCTTGGCTGTGCTCTGTGAACAAAGCAGGCATCTTGCCACCGAGTCCTTCCTTCACTAGATGGGGGATAAGATGTGGGAGCAGCAGTCATGTGGGGAGGATAAGCATATTTATGGGCCAGGCACACCGCACGTATGCAAGTGTACACACCCTAAAGAGAGTACCGACTTATCCAACTTGACATCCTCCTGTTTCACTGCACAGCAAAACCCCCCTCATTGGAAATCAGGGGGGATGGAGTCAGGAATCTCTATGGGAAGGGGCTTCCAGGAATCTGCAGAATATACTCAGGGCTACAGAAGATACCGTGCCATAATTCTGATGCAGAGGAAGAATCGGGTAGTGCATGCTGCAGTAGAATGTAACCATAATAGGCTGCATGGCTGTAAATATACGTTTGACTATGTGGGCAATGTCTGCTGAAGTCTCACAGATGAGGAATTACGGAGTAAAAATTTCAATGCTTTGGAAAAGGGCTTCAATATTCTACATATCGGCAAACCTGAATCTATGCAGATCTGCATAATTTATACCCCATTCACAGAATGTACATGTATTAGAGCATTTTTATAGGCAGAGCACACACAACCCTAGTTTAGAAGAGGTATCAAAGGGGAAGGAAGGAGCTGGGATAGAGAGGTGGTCAGAGGAGAACAGAAACTCACTGTCAAAGTCTATTTTCTCCACAATGTTTTTGGGCTTGATGCTCTCCTCCTGGTTGCAGATGAAGATTGTCCCGAGTTCTGTCTCTGTCCAGCCGTATTTACTCATCCAAGATTTCAGCTGGTTGTCTGCAGTGAAAAAGAAAGTGGTGATGTGGCTGGGCAGAAGAAGGAGAATCAAGTGATTTATCATGAAAGTCACTACTTCTCCCTTCAAGCAAGTTTCCAAAGCAGCTTTCAAAAAGAAAAAAAATTACAGCAGAAGGAACAAAGCTTTAAAAGAGCAGTGTTGAACTACCAGCAGTGAGAACAGATCGCTTTCAACAATCTAGGAAAACAGAGAAGATCTTCAGCTAGCACCAAGCTGCCTGCACAGCAGGAGAGCTCCTGAGTTCTACAACCAGGGTGCCACCACCAAGAAGCCTTTCCCACATCACACAGCAAGATCAGAATCAATTTTCAAGGCTTTATCCTCCTTCCCAAGTGGGCAGAATCCAACACACTCACAACTGAAGAAAATAAATAAGGCTTCCCAGCTATCCATTTTTTCTTTTATCTACCTACAGACTGACAAGCCTCCTGCTCTGTACATACAATTCTTCTTTTGCTGGTAAGCTTAAAAAAAGCTCCCAAAAATTTGGGAAGAAGGGTTGTTCTGTTTACCTAAAACGCTTTTATCCAGCTGTTCAGCAGACAAGGCCCTCAGGATTACAATCTAAAAGACCTGGCAAAGGAAAAAGCTACACGAGAAGAAGCAGGAAACCCAGCATTCACAAACGATAAACTGTTCAGGGAGAGGAGCAGCTCTGCTTCCCTTCTCTGCAGAATTTCTAGGAAAGCCAAACTGTTCCTTAGATTGCCCGTCTTGGATTAAAAGAAACTCTCTAGGGGGCAGAGACAGTCACCGCTGCTCCTGTGACCCAGCTCTTGCTTGCCGAAGGGAGGCCCACTCCCAGACCCAGCAAAGCCAGTTCAGAGCGGGAACCATGACCCGCTCACACACATCACTAGATCCAGACCACCTCGATGACCCCCTCTGCAGAAATGGGTAGTCAGATAAAGTTATGCATCTCTCCACTTCCACGGCAGCGGGGGAGGGACTATACACTCACGGAAATACCCACTCACCTGTGAGGTCCCCCAACATCTTCGCCAGAAGCCATCGGTCAATGCGCTGATATGTAATCCCCACCACATGGCAGATAACTGCAAGGAAACACATGACAACAGGGTTACGAAACCACTTTCCAATCCTGAGTTCTGAGGAGCTTATTCTGAACCCCAGCTAACTTCAGAGCCTGATGGCAATCTGTGGCTTAAGGAAGGAAAGAGTGCTCTGAGAAGGGGCTGTAGGATGGCACACACTTATGTAAAACCACTTTTACAAATGCTGTAAAACACTTTTACAAAGGACCCTGAGAAGAGTTCGCATTCCCACACGACAGAAATGCACAACAGGAAATGCTCTTTGGCTTAGGAAGGCCAGGCAGTTCTTCAGGGCAAAGGGAGAACAACAAGAGCAACTCTCTGCACAAGGATACTTCCATCAGTCATTCGCACCTGACATCATTTATTTGAAGTACAGAGTTGGGATATTTTTAAAGGCTAAAAGGAGCATATCAGTATTAATTTACGAGAAGGGAAAATGCAGCAACAATCAGAATCAGACTTACATTTCCTAACAGAATCCTCAAATCCTGTGATCTCACCCAGGATATCCATGTTCTTATCCAGCGCTTGCTAATTAAGAAAACAGGCACAAGAGTTTACACTCTGGTAACATTTTTGGTCACAAGAGCCAAGTAATTTCCTGCCACCCCACCTCATTATTAGTAAAGCAGAAGAAAACAGCATGGATTTCCAAGGAAACACTTTGCATTATAAGGCACAGACATGCAAAAAATACAGGCAATTTTTGAGCAGCAGCAATCAAAACCTAAAATGCAGCAACATCAGCGTGCTTATTATCAGCTTGCATCTTTTTAACTCTGTGAAATCACAGGCTGAGCTGAAAGCAGGCAGACCTCCGCTGGACCAGCAAAAACATTTGCAACCCAGAGGATGGTTGAGTTTGACTTACCCAGAAAGCCTGGAAGTGGCAGGTTTCCAGCAACTCTCCCAAGTACAAGATCTGTTTGAGAGGCTTCTCCTTTAGCTGGATGCAGTGGAATTAAGGAAAGTGGCAAACGAAACGAGGGAAAGGTATGGGATTTTCTGCCCCAGTCCTTGGGACGGGGCAGACTAGTAAATGCCACCACCATGTTGCACGACCAGGAGAGTCTTCCTACTGCAGTAAGAAATGCATCGTGACTCACTGGCGCATCTTTCCGCAGGGCTGCTCCAGGAGGCAGGCACAGCCCACGAAGTCTGTTCTCCCCACCCCTCTCTTAAGGCAGGCTACACCGCCACTCCGTCCAGTTCTGTTTATTTACGATTAAGGAGCACAGAAAGGCATGCAGGAGATACATGTGTGCACGCATGCCCATCCACACACAGTGCCCTGTGATTCTGCTCAGGGGCAACAGCCCGATCCCAGGCAAGGAAGGCCTGTGAGAGAGATGTGAGTAACCGCTGACTGCTGTATTTCACAGGCAGCGGCCACTGCTCCGCCCTCTCAGCAGCGACGGGGCAATCCAAGATCTTCACTGGGGATCCCAGACTGCTTGAGCCAAAGCCCCGCCTTTGCCAGATGCCGCCTGGGCGAAGGATACGTGAGCCTGGTCAATCAGGCACTTGCAGAGCGTGAAGTCTGTGTGAGGCAAGTTGGTCAGTGCCTTCAAGAGGATCTGGGCAGTCACTGTGGTTTGGAAAAGGGCAGGGTTAAACTGGTACCTGAGAAGAGAGAGAGTATCTTAGGATTCCAGAAGGAAGGAAGGGACAAGCAAACCCTGCAATCCAGAGGCCCCAGGAAGGGAGCCACTGCATGGCACCCCACTGACACTTTCATTATATTTCATTTTCCTCCCTGTCAAAACGTACATGCATGGGTTTGGATGAAATGTACCCATATTTTTAGCAAGGATAGCAAAGGTTGTCCACACATCCAAATAGCGGAGGAACCGCTGCTGTAGCCCAGCAGGCCTGGCTGCTCCTTTTCCACTCCTACCATTAACAAACTCCAGAGCACCAAGTGTTTTACCACCCCTCCAAGTCTCACACCGAGCCTGGGAAGTGCTACATTCAGACACCCAGTTTCAAGGCGAAAGGTTCACATCAAGCGGTCCTACAACCCTCTACCCGATGAGCCACAATTTGAACCCGGCCCTTCTATATTTTGCAGTAAAACCAGGCGTGAAGGGGAATGAGTATCTTGCCCACAACCTCCTTGGGATGGTGCCAATGCCAGATTCTCCCAAAGAACGGGCCACCAACCACTCACAGTTTGAGAACAGCCAGGTTGGCCTCCAGGTCATAGGTGTTCTCCTTGGCTTGGGTTTCCACGTAGTGCTCCAGGGTGACCAGGTTCACCGGGTTATATCTGAGAGGCGGGAAGGGATGGAATAGCGTTGAAGGCATTCCAAACCAGGAGCCAGAAGAGAGTTAGCAACTCAAGTGGGAGACCCAGTTTCAAGTTCTCTTTGCAGGGCTTGCTTGGCCACCTGCGACAGGCCCCCCTACCTGTGCAGCTTTGAGCCTCAATGCAGAAGGACACAACGCTCCACCGACTCATTCCCACTGCTCCCCTCTGCCCTCACCTGAACACTCCTTCCCTCAGCACCCTCCGTGCTGGAGCTTCCCCGGCCCAGTCGCCAAGAAGCCCAGCACCGCATCGCCCCCCACCCCAGCCCTCCCAGCCTCGCATCTCAAGCGCTGTGTCCCCGGGCACATCCAAAGCACCTTCCCTGCGAGAGGGGAGCTGGGCGCCGCCGCGACGGATGCAGCGCAGCGCCTGCGCCCACGGGCCCAGCCGTGCCTCACAGCTGCCGCGAGCGCGTGAGGCCCAAGCGCGGCGAGCCGGGCGGGCCAGGGCTGGTCCCCGGCATCACAGAAGGCGTTTTCGGCGCCGCCAAGCCACCAGTATCGGCGCCCGGCTTCCGACGACCCAGTCTCCCCCGCCCACCGCTCGCACCCTGCGCGGAAGGCAGCGACTCCGCCAAGCGAGAGGCAGGAGCAGGCGCGGAAGGCGGCCCCCCCACCCCGGGGAACACGCGGAGGGGCCGCCGGGCCGCGCGGCCCCCGCCCGGCCCCTCAGACCAGCGCGGCCCCCGCCCGGCCCCTCAGACCAGCACCTCTCGATGCCCTTGAGCAGCTTCCCCACGTTTGCGCGCATCTGCTCGAAAAGCGCCATGGCCGCGCCGGCGGTCGCAGGAGCAGCGGAAGGAAGCGCGGCCCCCGGCACTTCCGGAACGATGACGTCGATTGCGCCGAGGCACGACGGGACCATGGAGAGGAGCACCTCCTAGAGAGGCCGGCCAAGCAGATGCGCATGCGCCGAGCGCCACCTGTAGCCCCAAGTTGTGGCCCCGCCCCAGCCGCTGGAGACTGGCCTGTCTGTCCCGTTACCCGCCGCCCCGCGGTCTCTCGGCGGAAGTCGCATGAAAAGCGCTGCTCCTTCTGTTTCGGCTGTCATGAGGACCAGAAACGTGTGTGTTTTTTTGACTATATGCGATTCCTAGCAAGCTGCATTTATCTATCTATCATGGTCTTATGCAGATACAGCCAGGATGCTTCCAGGGGAAGCCCTTATTGTGCAATCGCCCTGAATAGCTGCACAAGGTCTTTCGGCTGGCCATGCCAGGAGCTGGCACCTGGAAGTATCCTCCCTGACTTATAACAAAAAGCACAACTCTGTGTATGCAATGCAATAAAGATGACAGTTAAAATAACATGATAACAAGGGCAATTCTGTGCAATGCTGCTAGGCTGAATCGTTCTGGAGAGGACTATACAAAGCCAGAGTTGGCCTTGGCTGTTTTGCTCCTCTCCAGGGGCTGTGCTGTACAATCCAAGAAGTGGTTGGTCTTATGATAATCCAGGACTATACCCCACCCTGCCTGGGCTTACATGCCACCAGCACAGGAAACCTAGCAGGACGGAATAAGACAGCAAGTGCCAAAGTAGCTGAAAAGGATCTAATGGCACTGCCAAGCCAGAGTGTTGGATTGCGTCTCCCAACTTTCCCAATGGTCATGCTGGCTGGGAATGCTGGGAGTTGCAGTCTAACACTGGAAGGACTCCCGATAGGACAAGGCTGTCGCAGATGAACGTTGGCTGATCACTGAACTGCCTCAGCCCCAGCGAGGGGCTTTAACACCCTGGAAGTGCACACGCTTTGCATGCCGAGGGTCCCGGTTCAATTCCTTGCCTCTCTGGTTAAAACAGATGGGCAATGCCGTGGGCCAGGGGCTGCACTGCACTCCCCTCGGACTCACCAGGTGCCACGGCCACTCCTGCCATCAAAACTGTTCCCACGCAAGCAATGGAACATGGGACAGTTTGGCCCACACCTGGGAGTTGGAACCTGTGGGCAAATGAAATACCTGGTCCTCACACAACGGGTTTCCTTGCAAAATTGCCACTTCTTTTCTGCCCCCCCTGCCATAACAGCCAATTCAGCAAGCCCCCTGTAATAATGGCTGTGAGGGGTCTGCGTGCACCTGTGACCTGTGCTTTCCACCAGGGCTGCTGCCTGAGCTCCTGGAAAACCGCTGCTAGTCGAAGTAGCACAACAGCACAAGACCGAGAAGCGGTTCGCTTTGGTATATGACAGCTTCCCGTGAAGGGCAGCGAAAGTTTCTAGTGCTGTTTCCTCTCTCAAAGAAACCGACTCCATTAAGGTTCAAGGAAAAGGAGTGGGGTGCTGGTGGTGGTGGTGTAAAAGCACCGATCCCCCTGTTGCAGGGTTCTCTTGCTTGCCTAAAGGCCATAGAGAAGCTCACACCAGCCAATCATGCTTCAAATCAGGAAGCAGAACCTGAGAAATTTATCAGTGCTCTGACCACATTGCTGCTGACGCCTACGCGCACAGAGACACGGGCTCCGCAACCTCTGCCTTGCACGGGGGGGAAATGCTGAACAATGGATGCCCAAGAGAGAGCAGCCCTAGCTATTTCCACCAGAAACCCTCAAGAAGACTTTGAACTTCTGCTCAGAGTTGGTGGAGGGACCTACGGGGAAGTCTACAAGGTAACCACTCCGATCCTTCCCGGAGCATTGGCACTTGGTAGCAGCTGGGGTGGCACTTCGGGCTGCAGCCTTCACCGCTGTCTGTTAATCAAACAGCGGTTTGTTTTAGGCGGTGGCAAGATAAGCCAAGAAAGAAGCAGCTAAAAGCAAAATGAGGGAAGACGCACTTTGAAAAAAGTTGCTGCGTTCCTCTGTGGAACCCATGGCCATGCATGCTGGGGAAAGCTGACAACGGCTGAACGATCACATTTTTATCTCGCTTTTTATTCATGGCCACTGGGCAGCAAATGTTGATCTTCCCCCTTTTATTTGCACAATGACCCTGTGAGGTGTGTTAGGTTAAGAGAGAATGGCTGGGACAGCTGCCGCTCAGGCCTATAAGCGGCTCAGGCCTAGATGTTAAGTGCAGTTATAGCTAATGGGTTCCAGCCCAGATATGTCTGCGTATGCTGGTGACCTTTGCGAACGCACTGATCCCCCTGAGAGCCACTCAAGTGCTGACCATCGCTATATCCTGCAGCAGGGAGTCAGTCCCCTGGTTTCATTAACTGGAGAAGGGACGACATAGAAAACCAGCAGGAGGGATGGGTGTGACAGGAATCCAGAACAGGGGGCACTTCATATCGCAACATTTTATTACAGACCCTACCAGTCCAATACACAGGTAAGTAAGTAATTATCTGAATGCTGATACTTATGTAGTCAGAAGGGCACCATCGGGGCTCAGCAGGCAGGCGCTGGGAAACCCAAGCAACTGAACTTACAAAAGGAAAAAGCTTGCCATGTGCTAATTATTAGACTAGGCCTCGGTGTTCCTACGCTGTAAAATATGAGCTTTCATTGGTTGCTGTTACTGGTTATTTTGGAAGTCTTGTGTTACAGTCCCTGAGATACAGTATCTCAGATATAAATTTACGTTTGTATCCGCAACTATGTCCAGCTAATTTGCACCTGGCTCTGATTAGTAGTTCTTGGGGCTCTAGTAAAAACTGAAGTGGATCCCAGAAGGATGAAGTCTGCCCAGCACTCCCTTAGGTGATGGCTTACAGGTAGCTCTCCATACTGGTATCTTTCTCAAAAAGAAGTGCACCTGTTTTCCAGGAAGGTTGAACTAGAATGGGCCTGCTTGTTGGTGGCCCCCCTACTGGGAATGCTCTCCCCAGCGAGATTCACTGAGCACCGATGTCAGATGTGTTTGCATTCCTGCTAAAAGGTCCACGGGAGTCCGCCTGAGCTTTGTGGTGGCAGGTAGCTGCGGAGTCCAGGAACGCGCTTCCCTGGGCCAGGCCGATGCACCAGCTGTGGGCTGGCCTGAAGGGGATGGCCTGGGCCTCGGATCTCCCGCACTGAAGGTGTCTAGACTGGACTACCGCACCGTGCCGTGTGTGGAGCTGCCTCGGAAGGCAGTGTGCAAATTTCAGCCGGTGCAGAAAGAGGCAGCCAAGTGTGGGAGGGGGTGCGGCGATTCCGTCACGCAGCACCTACCCTGCACCAGCTGCATGGTTTTTCTGACCCCAATTTAAACGGTTCCTTTTGACATTTAAAGCCTTAAATGGCTTGGGGCGAAATTGCCTGAAAGGCTGCCTTCACCCACCTCTGCCCAAAGGTTAATGGAAACCCTTCTCATTGCCAAGCGTGAGAGCACTTGGGTGGGTGACCGTGCACGTGGCGCTTTCTCTGGAGTGGTGCGGCACCTCTGGAATACTTTGCTGTCAGCAATATTATTTATTTACTTATTTACTTTAAAGCTGCCTGTTAGCCACAGGCTTTCTAGGTGGCCATTACAATATAAAATTGCTCTCTGCCATGCTCCATCACTACGGGCTCTTAAGAAGAGCATGAAACCATATTTGCTGTTATAAAACAGCCAGAGAGCTTAAGCTATGGGGTAATATACAAATGATAATGATATCATCATCATCATCATCAATATTAACAGTGGCCTTATAATATGATGGCTGCTGCTCTTTTATCACTCCAAATATTATTCGAGTTCCATGCATTTTATTGCTGGATGCTGCCCTGGAGAGCTTCTGTCCGGAAAGTCAGCCAAGAAATATTTTACATGAATACTGTAAAATAAATAAGGCTGGCTTCCTTTTGGTGTCCAACATGGTCTCTCCTCTGCAGGCATTTAGTGGGTCCTTCAGTGGAACAGCTGAAATGTTTGTAATTGTCAATTATATTTCATGGCATGGTATTATTTTAGTGAGTAATGGCGCATACCTCTTTTATATTTGTTCTGTTTTAATTTTGTTGTAAGTCATTCCTGAAGGGTTGCTTTGTTTTGTTTTGTTTTGTTTTGTTTTGTTTTTTTAGAAAGGCTTCTAATAGCGATGAAGGTGATGGGGGAGAAGGAGGAGGTCTGGGAAAAATGGAACTGTGCAAATGTGGACAAAGGTCTCATTGTTCTGCAGCGATGGTGGGGAACATGTTGCCTTCCAGCTGTTGTTCAATTGCAACTCCCATCAGCCCTAACCAGCATAGGGATGATGGGAGTGCAATCCATCACCATGTGGAGGGTCATGTTCCCCATATCTGTTCCGTGGCATCTGCAAAAGCTATTTTTCCTGATAAATGTGCAACATGCTTTGCCACTTGAGCCTTCAGAAATAGGGGCTAGTCACAGGGAAGCTAATTCCTGCTGAAAGAATTTCCCTTGATCTCTTCACAGCCCCCTTCCTCCTCTGACCTGCCAGTTTGTTCTCCTAGGAAAGGAAGGGCTTGGCCATCAGGGCTGTGCCCCCACCCTCTGAGCAAGGAAAAGGACCTTGAGGGACTGGATGATAACATCTAAGCAAGAATGCTGCAGCTGTATCCTCTTCCAGATCTCATCACTTTAGCATTTTCTGCTTGCATTCTGCTTCCTCTTTCTGGCTTTCCTTCCAATCTGGGAAATGCATGTAATGCCAGATTAAGTGCCAACAGAGATTACAAATTGGATCTCCCGCCTGTTTCAATTGTTCTAAACAAAATGCACATCCCCTGATCACATCACCAAGGAATGCAGAGCTTATCTTTCCTCTTCTCAGTTTTCCCAATGAAAATAGCAGCCTACCTGTGAAGCTGCTATTTACCATGGTAGGAAAAAAGTAGGTTTTGTGTCCCTCAAGCTTATGCTTTTTTACGTTCACTCTACATGCAAGTCTCCAATTTCAGTTTATTGCGTATTTTGTCCTGTTTCCTTCCATTGTTCCACAGCCTCCTCCACCCAGCTTTCCATCTTCCAATTTAATCATTAATTCCACATTCCTTTCTCATTGAACAGTTCACACATTCAAAAAAACCCACCTTAGCAATAAGTCACAGTGGCTATTGTGCCAAGAATCTATGGTGTGCCGGATCAGGTTAGACCACGGGTTGCTTTCCTCCATCCACTATAAAATGCAGGTATCTTGTCTCCCTTTTCCTGCTGAAATCACTGGACATTTTAGGCACACCTCTGCCTTTCCCCACTTTATTTGTAACATTGCTGAGGTTGTTGTGGGATAAGAATTGCTGTTATCCATTTACTTATATTTATGTCAGTCTTTGTTTGAACAATACTTCACTTTGGTTTGGAACAGTTGTGAAACAGTCTGATTGATCCATCTGATTGATTGCCCGCATGGTTGTCAGAAATCACATAGAGAGCTTTGGCTGTTGGGTAGTATGGAAATGAAATAAATCAATATATCAGCAATATCTAGAAGGGAGAGACTGCCCATTTGACCTCAGTTTTGGCAGCCATGTATTTCATGACATCCCACACCTCAGCAGCAAGGTAAAGTATCTGGTGACATGATGGCCACCCGGATTATTTCCGAACCACTGCTTGGGGAACACTCCTAATTTCTATGATTCTAAAAAAATCTTTCCATATTTTCTCAGGCGAAGAACAAAGAGACAGGAAAGCTAACAGCAATCAAAATTGTCAAGATGGAGGCAGGTAAGCCTGAAGGGTCACCAGGCCTTCTCATGGGCCTCTGTAGTCAGGCTAAACGGGCCTTGGGAAGGGTCCACTTCTTACCTGAATCTGACAGCACAGGGGGTACAGTTTGCCCTGCAGGATTCGCAGATGCCTTTCTCCGAGCCACTGCTCACGTTTGGCAGCTTTGGGGCATTTCTACCCATTCTAAAGGCTGAAAGGCATCTTCTGAAGCTTGGTTGTTGGGGTGCTTTCTCCCCTGATCTCAGTGACTCCCCCAACATGCCCTGCACAGCTCATACTGTGCCAGCGAGGCACCCGGATACCCGGCACACTTGAGCCCTAATGTTTAAATTAAAAGACACACAGGTCTGCAACGGTCCCCTGGCAATGATGGATTGGCTAACGGCAGGGGCCCCCAAACTCTGTGGGACATTTGGGACTTGAGACAGAGCTGTGGGCACCACCACAAAATGTCCCCCCAACACAGGACGTGGCTAGTCTTTGAATGGCTGCCGTGCGGGCTGGTCGAGACAGAAGCGGGTTGAAGAGGGGAAGGAAAGGAGAAGGAAAGCACGAGTCTGGAGGGTGAGGAGAAGACGGAGCAGCGAAGTGGAGGGGAAGGAGAGAGAGCAGCGAGGCTCTCCTGCTGTTTCTCAGGGCCTTTCTTGCCATCTTTTTGGAAGGGGGCAGGGGGTGGAGAGCTTTGTGGGGGCCGCTGGAGGTGCCCACAAAGGCCTTGGCATCCCTGGCAGTGCGTTGGAGCCCTGGGCCATGGGCATCTGGTTTTGGGCGGCTGTGCATGTATCCTGCCACCCCAACCTGGGGCTCCTGAGGCTTTTGCACCCAAATATTTGGGATGCACTTGGCAGCTGCTCACCCTGTGTGAGCCTCTCTAACATAAAGCTGGGAAGGGAGAGAGGGTGACCGGAAGACGTATGTCTGGGGAGGCCTCTTAGCAGCCCTGTTGTTCTAAGTGGCTCGCCTAAAAATGGCCCTTTGCCAGTCCACACAACCGGAATGGCTGGCGGTGCTGGCGGGGGGGAGACGAGCCTTCATGGGCGGCCGAAAGGGCCTGCTTCCCTCGCCACGCGGTGCAGCCGAGAGAAGGCTGTGCGTTCTTGCCGGAGCTTGGGCGGCTGAGCCAAGTTCTTCCGCACTCAAGAGAATGCCCTCCTTTCCCCTCTCCATCCAGATGACGACTGCACCACCATTCAGCAAGAGATCCTCATGGTGAAGACCTGCAAGCATCACAACATAGTCGCCTATTATGGGAGCTACATCCGGTGAGAGCACCTCCTCGCCTGACCCAAGAAGTCCCGGGCCCGCCCATGCCACGTCCCTGCCCTGAGCCACTTTGCTGTGCCGCTGGGGGGTCTCAGCCAGCCAGCTGCAGCGCCACGGGCGAACCCTGGGTACAGAAGCCGGTGGGGGTGAGAGAGCCATGCTTCAGGGTAGCCAGGGTGCCCCTGGAGGGTGCAGGTTCTGCCCCCAATTCTCCCTCCTAAGCCCTCAGTATGAGCCCTCTCCTTTTCTCTCTCCCTAGGTTAAACAAGCTGTGGATTTGCATGGAGTTCTGCGCGGGGGGCTCCCTTCAGGACATTTACCAAGGTAGGGCTGACTTCCCCACTCCCTGTGGGGAAATGCAGTCAGAGCAGGTGTCAGCGGGGGCCATGGCAATATGATTATGGCCGTGAAAAGGAAGGGCGTGCTCTTTCCCTGAGGCACAGGGTGAGGAAGGTCGGCTTCAGGTGTTTTGGACTTGCACTCCCACGATCCTTAGCAGCACGTGCAATGGCCAGGGATGCCAAGAACTGCAGTCCCAGCCCTGCTCCGTCCTGTAACCCTGGAGGCCAGTTCTCTTTTCAAGGGCAGCGCTAGTTGGAAGGGCTTCCTGAAATGAGCCCCAGTGGCTTGCGGTGACTGCCGGACACGTCCCACCTGCAGGCACACACCCGTTGTTAGAGGCCTGAGATGCTGTCGTTTGCTGCCTGGCAAGCAGCCTTGCTGTTGGTGGAGGGCAGGGTCCGTGCCCATGTGGTTGCATGTGTGTGTGTGTTTGTGTGTGCCTGTATCTACAGGGGAAGCTGATGCTTCCCTAAAGTTCAGCCACAAGCTGGTGCTGCAAGTGGAGTCAGAAGAGGGTTTTTATAATTCAGTGGGAGCTGGAAAGCTAGTGATGCAGCCTGCGCCCTGCTTTCTTCCTGTTCAGTAAATGCGAGGCAAACCTGCCCCAAAATGGTGGAGATGCAGTTACAGTCTAGCCCGTCACCCCTTGGACTGGACTTGTGGCAGGTCTTGTCTGAGGGCCAGAAGAGGCTGGTGGAAAGGGCCGTGATGCAGTGGGGGGGACTCCAGCTCAGGTGGTGCTGGGAAAAACTCGCACCTGAAATTCTGGGGGCCTATGATTGGACAGTGGCCCCTCCTTAAGCTCCGGTCAGACCTCCTGATATTTAATTTTGAATTTAAATGGGCTGCCCAGTGGTGGGGGCTGTAGGATTAAAAGCACAGCTCTCCCACATCCTGCCTCTTCTGGCCCTGAGTTTATGGCTGTGCTGCTTCAGGCCGCAATTTCATTCACAAAGCGGCCAGCCAGTTGCCCATGGGAAACCACCACAAAATCCTGCTCATTTTCCCTAGAAACGGGTGGGCAGAATCATGCTGCATCTGCTAATGGAAGGAACAGACAGTCCACGGCGTTCTCCCCTGTGAATTTGTCCTCTCCTCCTTTAAAGCTGCCCAAATTGGTAGCCATTGCACATCCTGCGGTAGCAGAAGTTCAGCCTTGTGTGAAGAAGCCCTTCCTTTGGTCTGTCTTGAATCTCCCCCAGTCGTGTTCTTGGGACGACCCCTCTGAGCTTTAGTCTCACTTGCATGCACCGTTTGGGGGCGAGTTGCTCAGAAACCAGGCAGCGAGCTCTGAAATTGGGAAGCGAAACTGCACGCGGCTGGCTGGGCCGCTTTCTCTACCGTTTCGGCAGGCACCTGTCTCGGGCCGAGCGCTCTCCTCCCCTTCCATCTGCTCAGAAGGCTTTGCACCGTTGCCTCTGCTTCCGCTACCCACAAGGAAGGGCAGGAAGCAAAGCAGGGCCCAGCTGCTCCATCCTTACTTGGCCACTGGAAAGGATCGCTTCCTCCTGTATGTTCTCCTGGGAACACGGTAACTTCTTCGGCAGTCCTTCCCAGGGTATTCCCTACCTAAGGACCTCTAAGGAGGGCTTCTCTGGCGATGGCAGGGGGAGGATGGAGCGCCCATCCCACCAGGTTCGCCAGTTAGTTCCCACTCTGCGGAGGCCAGGATCCAGTGTCCAGACTTTTTATTTCTCTGTAAGTTTTAAGATCCTTGGTGTTCTGGTTCTGACACACAGCTGTTTTGCTGTTCTTGGCTTTATTCATTCAATTTATTTGCACCATAGATGGTTTTATTCGATTGCTTTGATTGCTTTTATAGTTTTAACTTTAATCGCTTATGGATAACCACCCAGAGGACATTGCAGATAAGTAACACTTTACAACAACGTCATGCAAGAAAGGAAGAGAGGTTCTGGCCCAGCGCACACCCCGTTGTGCCAACATTTATTTGCAAGGAATCTGAGTTTTTATTTCAAATGTAGGGGGGCGTTCGGTTTGAAGTGGTGCAGTCCGTTCTTCCATGTCATGCTCGCCTCATTCTGCCCAGAGCCAGTGGCAGGCCAACTCTTTAGCCCAGTACTGTGGAACCCAACAGGCAGCAGCCGTCCAAAGCCTTTCCAGCCGCCAGTTCAATTTCTGTGCAGACTGCATTGTTTACGTAAGAGAGTTCTCTGCCTCCAAGGAACTTACCCTTCAATACTTGATCCCGCAGGAATGTGGGAGGGGGCAGTGGGCGAGGAAGACGTAGGGATTTATCTAGTCACCGTTTACCCCTGGGGTGGGGGCAAAACAGGTTCCAGATCATCTGTCTTAGATTGTTTGTTTCTTTGTTTATTTCTATGTCTCCCCATAACCTGAAGTTTAATAACACAACAGCCCCTCAAGCTTAGAATCTAAAAGGTATGGCGGAAAAGGAAAATGGATTGGGAAGAAGAAGCGGGGCAGGGAGGAAAGCTCAGCATTTAGTTGACAGTTCTTATAGATGTTCTTTCTGGCACAGAGGAGTGAAACAAGCTCCCTGCAACTGGTTTTTCTCTGGCTGAGGTAGGGGCAAGCTTGGTCTCCCCCTTGCCTTGACCTTCCTGGGAAGCGAAGGCAAGGTCCGGCTGGCCCCCGGTTCCCTGAAAAAGAAACCAGGGACTGCCTGTGATCAGTCAGTCCTGAGCACCACGCCGGTGGACTGAATGGGTATCGAGGCAGTGACGCATGCACAGACCTTGCTGCGGTTGGAAATGAGGACGGGGAGGCAGCGGAGACCAGGGCAGGCCTTCCCCGCTTCTCTGGGCCACTGCAAATGCTGCTCCTCCTCCCCTTTTGGACAAGGCAGAGGCACATCAGAGGAGCGCATGAAACTGTGCAGAGCTGGCCACAACACGCCTTTCTCGTTTTCATGTTTAGCATCTGTAACTTCTTTGCTTCCTCTCCCTTGCCACTGCATCTGATGTGGTTGAACAGAAAGTTCCCTGTCACGATTCCTGGAATGTGGGGGACAGTGGAAAGAGGCTCTCCCCTGCTGCTCTCCAGGGGTACCTCCCTCTTTCTCCCGGCCGTGTAAAGTGAGCTGGGACAGGCCCGGGAATTTTGCCGCCCTCTGCGTGTGGGCTGGGCTGAACTCAGTGGATGCTTTGCAGAATGTGTGGTTTGTGACACGGGCTTCGGACGTGAAGCTCGGAGGACCTGTCCCCCATAGTCTTGTCATCATCACACGTTCATTTATTTGGCGTGAAAACGGCTGCTTTGATTGGTTGTTTGTCTTCGAGGAGACAGTCTCCCAATCATAGAGCTGTGTGATGTGAGGCCTGCCCCGAGTGCCGTTAGGGCTGCGAGAGCATTTCAACATCACCATTCAGTTTCCTGATTCAGCTCGCTTTTGAAATGTTGTGCACATAAGGAAACCAGTAAGCAAATTTCAAATGATGCTTGGATAGACGAGTTCTTCACAATGAAAGTGGGATTGACGGGTGACAGTCTTAGGGAAGAAAGAAGGGTGGTACTCGACCACCGTGGCAACAGAGGCATTTCTGTGGGGCGCATTGCAGAGTTGCTTTGCCCCACAGTCAGTTTCTGAAGGAGAAATAATGGTGTATTTCTTCAGCATGCTTCTCATCCTAAACACATTTTCCTCTAAATTCCTGCTAATTTTGGTGGCAATAACTGCTCAAGTAAGCCATGCCGAAGACCACAACCTTATTTTAATCTTCAGGGTATAATTCCATTCATCTTTGTATGGGAGAATTGCCCTAGGGCAAATAGCCACATGGCTCCAGGAATTACGGGGTGACCTACATAATGGCTGGTCGCCCATCACCATCCTAGTACTGACTGGCACTGCATGTCGCTCTGTGACTGGAAGATTGTCTCCATCTTCTAGCTTGCTGCCAGGCCTTGCTGGGACTTTCAGAATATTTCTTAGTTATTAATTTTAATTACTAATTTCAAAATCAAAATCCAAGCACAAAACCCCAAATGCTCGCTCTTTCATTCTCTCTCACTCTCTCTCACACACACACACTCTCACACAGGATGGGGAAATAAAATAAAAATGAAGTCTAGTATTTTTACATGTAAGGGAAGTTAATCAGTTACAATGAATATATATAAACCCCAATATATTTTATACATAGCAAGATATGCTCTTGTTATTGAAGGTAGCTATGGAGAGACCTCAGCGAAGGCTGCCCAACGATCCGTATTTGTAAATTACACCTAAAAAACACCAGTTCAGAAATTGAAAGTTGCATCAAGCCCACCACCCACGGTGTTATCGGTGGTGGCCATGTGTCCTTCCAGTGTTGTAATATTACCCTTTCGGCTGTTCAGAGGGCATGGAGACCTATTTGCATTGCCCTTGCATTAAATTCCAAGAAATGAGCTGACAGCTAAGGACAATATGCATGTCCAAAATTATTAAAGCACTTTCCTTCACAAATTTTTTTCTGAATGATTTCCTCCTCCCCAAAGGAAGCAACCATTCAGCATTGCCAGGCATGAGTAGAAGAACCATTTGCTGTATTATATCTCCAACAATTGGTGTATTTAATTAAGCCCTTAGCGAAAAGACATTGTGGCATCCAGTATACACAGAAAATCAATTTTTGCTGAATTAAATGTAATCTAAGATCTATTACCCCTTTGGAAATGGATGCCAATGAAGAACTTCATCGATCGGGCAGAGCAGAATGCTCCAATTCATTTTTGTTCTCAAGACTATGGGTGTCATATTTGTTCACTGATAACAGATATTCATAAACATGGATCAAGAACAGTGTTTCAGCACATCTGATAGCCAAGGGGGCCCTGAAACTGTAAGCAGCAGGACTGGACCTAGATTATAACTGATGAGTCAGTCATGTATATTGCCACGCACCTCAATCGCATTTTGCACGCCAAAGTAAAAACCCAAACTAAAAATCACCTTGTCTGTTCAAGTCTGCCAAACAAATGTTTTCTTGTCACAGAGTTGATTTTGCTTGTGAAAATAAATCAAACAGTGTGCCATGTCTCCCACATCTGTAATGGTAGGAGGGACCCTCTTGGTTCTAGTATACCAAGAACCCAAAGAAGTCCTCTTAGGAAGAGGATCCAACATCTGACCAGGGGAAAAAAATCTCATCTGAGCCGTAAAGCCCAAAATGTAGTAGAAGTCAACAGACAGGCCCAATGATCTAAGAAGTCAAATTCACCCTCTTCAATTGAAAGCTGCTTGCTCTTCAAGGATATTTGTGGTGGGATGGGACCCCAGGGGAATTGACCAAACAAAGCATTATATTTTTTGAAAATACTTGCTGGAATATTGCCTAAAACATAGGAGAATTTGAGGTATTATATGTATTTTAAGTGTGTTTGTAGTACCTCATAGACCTAACCTTAAAGCTGTCCACCTACCAATGTCTGATAAGATCTCGTTAATCAGCTGACTTAAATCTAGGTTAGGCATTTGAGCTCTCTCTCAAGGGACAAATATTCCCAAATACGTCATAAAGCCGGGCAGAATCTGAACTGCCAGTTGACTAGCACCGTCTGGAGAATTATATCTTCAGTCAACATCAGTTCAGGCTTGAACCAGTTAATGGAGCACCCCCAGTTATTCAGTTTCAGAATATGAATGCCATGGGGCTCGGGGGGGGGGCATTCCCTGTGGCACGCAAGCGGCGCTCACTGTGTGCTCTCTGCATTTGCAGCCACCGGGCCTCTTTCGGAGCTGCAGATCGCCTACGTTTGCCGGGAAACGTTGCAAGTGAGTGCGAGCGTGTGCATTCTGCTGGCCCATCCAGCTCAGAGCCCCCCAGACATGTGGGACTCTAACACCCAGCATCCCCCAGCCAGCGGCTTGGAAAGGGCAAGCATGTCTGTAAAGTGCATGATTTCTGTGGGCGGTGAGCACGGTTGGCGTGGGGGGTATACGTAGCTTGCGTTCTGTGCTTTGCCAGTATTTTGCCATTGAACCGTCTCCGGACTGGGTATTCTTGCAGAGGCCTTTACAGGCAGTAAACGCTGGCCTCCCCACCCCTGACGGCTCCGGTGCTTCCCCAGAGGCTGCCATTATGGGAATTCTGGTCCAACAGATCTGGAAGGGCTGGGTTGGGGAAGACGGCTACTTGGCTTGAAATTTAAGGGCAGCCGGTCACGTAATGTTCTTTCTCCTTCTAGGGTCTGTCTTATCTTCACAACCAAGGGAAAATCCACAGAGACATCAAGGTAATGCCAAGCTCCTTGGTAGACAGGGCTGTGCCCCCTCCCCACAAATGACCTATCCCACCACATAATCTTGGGCCTGGGGTTGCTCACACAGTAAAATTCCCTGGCATGCAAAGTTTGGGACCAACGAAAGGACAGCGGTTTTTCCACGTAACGTGGAATAAACGTAGGGGAGCTTTCCCCAGTCTGACCCCTCTGTGTGCTTTGGACCACGGCTCCCAGCATTTCAGGCCATCGGACATCCTGGCTGTTGCTGATGGATCCGAAATCCAAATCCAAATTCTGGAGGGCATCAGGCTGGGGAAGGCTGACCTGCAGCCCTTCCATCACAGCAGTGGGGCAGCTACTGCAGAAGGCTTTGAAAAGGGGGGCAGATTCAAAGAAGAAGCTATCGGCAACTCGATTCACGTTGGCTACCTGGACCGCCTGTGTCCAAAATCTGTCCACAACCAGAAACCTGACCCTGGGGCAAACAACGAGGTGTGGGGGGGCTACCTTTGTGCCCTGCCTGTTCGGCTTCCTAGAGAACGCAGCTGGCTGTTTTGGGAAGGAAGATGCTGAAGTGGGACGGGCAGCTGATGGGACCCCGGGGAAGGGAGGGGAGAGGAAGCTGTTCATTCGCCTGGGAAGGTGATGAGAGGTTGAGCTGGGAAAGCTCCTGCAGGACTGAGAAATACAGCATAGGACAGGCTGGGCAGCCTGCAGGGTGGGCCGTAGGAAGCGTGTTGTCTTTTGCGAGAACCCCAAGATCCCCGCAGCCAGAGCTGGGTGCAAGTGAGGGGCACTTCGCATTAAACTGTGTGAGCCCAGGATCTCGTTTTGCTTCCTGGAGCTTGCTGCCCCAAGCTTTCTTCATTTCAGCAGCCTCATTTAGGCTGTGCTGGGGATTCGTTGTTGCCACTACTAAACAACTGAAAGCCGGAAATCTTTCCTGATCTCATACAAATTGCCCAGCCCTTCTACCCGCTCCCGATATAGACAGAGGAGGCAAACCAGAGTTGTGCCAGTTGAACGGTCTTCCCCACACCCAGGAATATTGGAAGCCAAGGGGATCATCAGGGAGCTGGAGTGCTCGATCGGAAGGCAGGGCAGCTTTCCACAACCCTCATCCTTCCCAGTCTGCAATGCCAGACAACATGCTGGCTGGGAATGATGGGAGTTGCAGTCCCAGCATGGTGGAAGGCCTCCAGGCTGGGAAAGGCTGAGGTGGGGGGATGCCCACACAAACTCTTGCAGACTCTGCTGCTTGGCTGCAGACACAGAAAGTTCGCACATCAAAAGCAGGCATTGTAGTTCCCTCATGACAGGCCCCAGCACTGGCCCCCATTGTGTTAGTGAGGCAAATTCTGATTTCTGTTCCTAGGGCAGTACGGTAGGATGACAAAACATGACCCAGAGCCGAGAAAGGAAGCTTTATAAGCGGCACCGGGGCATCGCATCGCGGTGGGCATGGTGCAGATCAGAGTCTCTTGCAGGGAGGGGCGGCAGGAAGGGCCTAAGGAAGGGAGGCCGAGATGCGGCGGAGCATCCAGGAGAGGCCAAGGAAGCCACGCAGTGTGTTGGGGCACATTTGTGTGCATGTGCGAAGGCGGGTGCAAACTAGGGCAGAGTCATTGGAAGAGTGGCCCCGGGAAGGGAGGGAAAACCAGGAGAGAAAACGTAGAGAAGCGCACACAGCCGGGAGCTGCCGAGAAAAAGCGAGCTGAGGTTCACCCATGGTCTGAGATAAGCAGCCCCATCTCGGACGTGGGGGCTTCTGGTGATCCACCGCTTGCCTCCGGGGTTGTACCAGCGCCTCGCCATGACCCACCATGGTTATCTTCTGGCGTGACAGCCGTTAGAGGGCCAGGTTTCTGGAGGGAGGCTTCAGCTGCAGCACCACGAGCCCCTCTGGCCGCAGAGAGGACTGTCCGAGTGGTGTGGGGAACCTTCCGCCCCGGCACCCTTCCCCGAGTCTCACTTCCTCTTTGTTCCCCTTCCGATTGCAGGGGGCCAACATTCTCCTCAATGACCACGGGGAAGTCAAACTGGGTACGTTTCACAGGGCCGGGAGGGCACGTCTCGCCAAGCGGTTCACCCTGTGGACTGCGTGGGCAGGAGTGGGGCGAGGGGGATCTTGGGGGCTCCTTTCCCTCATCCCTTGTCTTCTGGGCCCACTTCCCTGCCCCACACGCACAGGCACGCCATTTCCCACACAAAGGAGCTGGCCCTGCCACGAGCCCTTTTTCTTACCACACGTCAGAGGCTGAAGCCAAGCTTGGCATCTCTGAGCCAAGTGCAAATCTGGCCATCTTGGCTCAGACCAGGGGCAGGATTCAGTTGAGGAGGACGGGGGGGGGGGGCATCGTGCAGCGATTCAGTGAACAGCCCCTGCCGAGGGCAAATACCCTGACCTCATGGCTGCGTTCGGAGTGCCTGGACTCCCCAGTGACACCTGATGCGAAGTCGGGGCAGGAGCAGCTGCCCCCGGCAGAGGGTTGTACGAAGGCAGGCTCCCGAGCCGAGGGCAGAGGCGTGCCAGGCGGCCTCCTCTGCCGGGACGTGCTCTGGGCTTGCCGGACAGCACGATTATTTCATCCATCCCGTTCTGGGAGCAATGCACCATGGCAAGCGTCCGTGAAAGGCACGTTGCCCCGAACCCGCAAAAGAGCTGTGGGGATGGGCCTGTTTAGACAGACCTGAGAGTGCAGGTTATTGTCCTGCAGCAGAGGCAAGACACCTCCAGTCCAGGGGCCCAATCCAGCCTTCTGGGGGACCTACAGTGGCCCCACTCGTTTTCCTCCAGGCACCTTTTATGTGGTGCCTTCCCAGCTGTTGTGCCCCCACCCCCAAGGGTCGCAGTGCTCCTCCTCAGGCTTGGTCACTGGCACCAAGCGCATAAGGCGACAAGCTGGAGCTCCGTGGCCCTGCCCGCGCTGCCTCCCTGTCCCAGGGGACCCCCGGAAGCTGATTGAAGTGGAATTTGGCCCGTGGACTGAGAGAGGGTCAGCCGAGCTCCGGCTATCGGGCAGCAGAGAAGCTGCGCATGGGCGCGCATGAGCAAACTCTTGTCCTGTGGGGGGAGCACAGCTCCCCCTGGCTCCACAATGCCTCGGGGATACAAGTCTGCCTTCACATGGCGGGTCCTGCCATGCACTTCCCTTTCCTTCTGGCAGCTTGCCCACCCTCACGCCTCCCCAGTCCAGCACTGCACGTCTGCCCCAAAGCAAAAACAAAACAAATGTGTTCAGGACTTGATTCCTGCTGCTGCTGCTGCTGCTGCTTCTCCTTTTTCAAAGAGGAAGCCAGAAGAATTTAAAGTGCTGCCTGGAGGGAAGAGGAGGGCTTGTGATTCCCAGGCCTAGCCAGTCAGCGCTGGCTGCAGCCGGCTCCTGCGCAGAGGTGGTAGAAAGGGTTTCCTCTGAGCAAGTCCCCAGAGATATCCGGCAAAAGGGCTGGGAGGTCACTTCCCAGGGGCAGCGAAGCTTCTCAGACGCCTGGATGCACCCAGATTCAGTGCTTGCCCTGCTGTATGCATGCTTGCCCAGAGATCCACTTTCCTTTCTGATGGGCCCCATAATTAACCCAAAGGCCGGGGGGATGGAGAGAGCCCCCCCACCTCTCCTCCCTTGCCTGTGTCTCTCTGTGACACCGGCTCAGATGGGGTGGGCATCTGAGGGCCTCCAGCCCTCCAGCCCCATCGCAGCTGGTTCACGTTCCCTGTTGAATCCTGGAGACAGGTGCTCTCCCAAACTCTTTCCTGCCTCGTTTCTTCTTCCCTGCACCCCAGCGGATTTTGGGATCTCAGCACAACTCAGCGCTACCTTTGCCCGGAGAATGTCTTTCATCGGCACACCTTACTGGTAACGGACTGCTGTGCAGGATGGGTGAGGTCGGGATGGTGGACGGGAGTGCGCATGGAAATACAGCCCACTGGGCAGGAGCTCGGAAACGGAGGATCAGTCCAGACAAGCCGGCAGCACCGTTAGCAGGTGGCTCTTCTGCCCAGATGAAGGGGATCCCTCCTGTCACGGGTGGAGCTGAACTTCCATGGAGCAGAAGCTGGTCCCCTTGGGGTCTTCCCAGTCACTTGAAACCAGGCGTTCTCGGTGACCCAGCGGGTGACCCTCCACTGTCCCTGCCTGGCCAGGACAGGGATAACCGGACTTTGCAGAACGTGCTCTGGTCATCCCCAGCTTAGCTACTGCAACGCACTGTGTGCGGTTAAATTACTGCAGTGCGCCCTGCGTTAAATTTCCGAGCGTTAATGGGACACGGTGGGAGGGAGGGTCTTCTGGGTGGGCTGTGGGAAGATGCAGAGCGGCCCACCGCATGCACAGGCACCTCTCTTCCAGGATGGCCCCGGAGGTGGCAGCGGTAGAGCTCAAAGGCGGGTACAACGAGCTTTGCGACGTGTGGTCTGTGGGGATCACGGCGATCGAGCTGGCGGAGCTGGAGCCCCCCTTGTTCGACGTGCACCCGCTGCGGTGAGCTGCGTTGGAGCGCGGCTCGCTCATGCCCTCCTTTCCCTGGGCCACGGGGGGCGGGGTGCAGCTCGCTCGCTGCATCCAGTGCGGGGGCCGAAAGGCGCCGGGAAAGGTGGGGCATCGCGCAGCGGTCTGACCTTCGCCCCATCTGCGCCCGTGCTCTTCTCCACACCGCCGTCCTCAGAAGGGTGGCACTGCTTGCGCTCGTTGTAAGCACTGCCGAGGGAAGCGTGAATCTGTCCTGGGCATTATTATTAAAAAAATAATAATCGTATTTGCAGGTGTAACGGCGACAAAGCTCTTCATTTCAGAGAGTTTTATCTTGCTTTTCTGTGAGGTCATTCTGTTCCTCTTCTGCCACACCCTATCCTGTGGGTTCAGGGCTGCTGGCAGTGATAACATCCTGCACTTCTCTCTCCCCAAAGGGCTTCTAGCCTTGGATGCCGGGGGTATCCCCTTGGGATGGCTCTGAAGCCAGCAGGGCATGCCAGTGAGGGATTTGCAGGCTGGGGGGGGGGGTGGTCTTCAGGCCGGCCCCTTGCAGCAGAAGGGATGCTGTGCAGGTTTGCACGGTCCCTGCAGGTGGCTGAGCACAGCCTTTCTTGGTGCAGAGCCGAGCACCGTTAGGGCAGGGGGGGCATTGAGGAGGAGGGTGCGCAGCAGCTGGTGATGTGCCCTTGTGTCCTTGTGCCCTGCAGGGTCCTGGTCCTCATGACCAAGAGCGGCTATCAGCCCCCCAAACTCAAGGAAAAGGCTCGTTGGTGAGTTCTGTCCTGTGCTCCTTGCTTCCCGCGTGCCCCAGGTGCTTAACTGGGTCTCCTTTGGAATGCGGATGTGCCGGGTTTGTTCACAAGTGCACTTGGAGCAGAGGTGGCTGCTGGGCATTGCTGTCTGCCATCGCATACCCAAAGAAGAGCCGCTGCCCTGGTCTGGCTGGCCCCAGGACGGGGGTGGGGGGTGGGGGGGGCTAGGAGAATTTCCATTTAGTCAAGCAAGAAGGAAATAAAAACTGGGATTCCCAGCATTACCAGTCCGGAATTAGAATTTTTATCAGATCAGGCAGCAACAGCGCAAGAGCAGCCCAAGAAGCTGCAAGCTGGAATCACACAGCTAGTAAGTCTTCACCGAGGAACTGCTCTGCCAGGTTGTCCGGCCCGGGCCCAGGCCCAGCTCGCTGGCCGACAGCGCTAGTTTCAGAGCCCCCCCACCTCTTTGTCTTCCGTCCAGCTGTGCTTCCTTCAGCGGCTCCCAGGCAGGAGCTCTGGGGCCCACAGCTTGGCCCTGGAGTGAAGCCCCCCGTGCACCTCCCCACACGGTCTGCTCTCTCCGCAGGTCTCCGGCCTTCCACAACTTCGTCAAGGTGACGTTAACCAAGAATCCCAAGAAGCGGCCCAGCGCCTCCAAGATGCTGACGGTGAGTGCCAGCGGTCCTCCGCTCTCCTCCTCCCTGCCCAGGATGTCAGCCAGGCCGGCACGTCAGATCCGCCCTGAGCGACGGCACTTGCTTTGGGGCGCGTGGTTCTGACATGGAGCTGCGGCGAGAACTGGCCTCTGGTTTGCTTGTTTGTGAATTGCCACTTTTCCTCAAAACCAAGGCTACCTAAGGTGTGGGGGGGCTTCCAGGGTTTCCAGAAACGCCCTCATGGAGAAGCACCATGTGCCTACAACCAGGAAGGGACCTCTGCTCAAATTTCCCTTGCACTGCAGAAGAAGCAAACCTCTCTCTGGTGTGTTAGAAAGACAGTGACCCTGCTCCCACTCGTGTGGCTCTGCCCCAGGCTGGCGTCTAACTGCCCCCCAACAATCCCTTCCGCCCTGCAGCATCAGCTAGTTGCTCAGCCGGGACTGAGCTGCAGCCTGACCCTTGACCTCCTGGAGAAACTGCGGTATCCTGACAAGTTCCCCAGCTGTAGAGGAGAGACAGATGAAGAGGAGCAAGAGGTGAGAACCGCTGGGATGAGGCCGGAGGAGGGCGACCAGAAGCGTGTGGGGCCGCTTCCCTCGTACTCTTCTAAATCCTGCGGACGATGCTGCAGGGAGTTCTCTGGTTGGTGCTTCAGGGCCTGTAAGGCGGGATGCGCCCCCTCCTCCCGCACACCCAGCAAACTAATGTGGTGGTTTCTCGGCCGCAGCCGCCTCCGCCTCCCGTGCCCCGAAGGATCCGCTCCAGCCAGCGCCAGGGCGTGACCTCACCTGGATGCGCCAGTCCAAGGGGTATGTCTGTCCTGCTGCCGCCTCCTGCCCAGCTAAGCGGGCATCCACCCTTCTTGGCTCCCCTGGCCCCCCCTTTGAGTCACACGTCCTCTCCCCCAGGAGCAGCCCCTCCCCAGGACCTCCCCCACTGCAGAGTCTCTGTTTTAAATCCCGTTACTTTCGTTGCAGCCCATAATTTCGGTCACACTCTCAGAAACGCAGAGAGTCTGGAATCCTCGAACTTCACGGTACCTCCTCTTCCCTGCTTCTCCCCCAACCCGGTGGGCAAGCGCCGGCCCCCTTGGCAGCAGATGCTCGCGCTGGCGATCCTTCGGGATTTGAGAAAGGGAAAGGCATTTGGGAAACCCCGAGGCCTGGATTTGGCATGCCCCCGTCCCCAACCTGATGCCACCCAGATACGCTGGACTCCAGCTCCCATCATCCCCCTGGAGGGGGCCCTGATCAACTTTGGCTAATACCACCACCGCCACGGCCTTTCCTTTTAAGGAGAAGCCGGAGCCTGATGCCAACCGGCAGTTTTGGCCTTCTGCTTGCAGGAATTCTCCGCGGATTCTGGGTGCAGCTTTGGCAGCCACCTCTACAGCGCTGCACCTGGCACCAGGTAAGCGCACAAGGGAGGGGGATGGGCTGCCGCTGGCTCACCTTGGCAGCTGCCAGACAGCCCCTGGGCAGACCGAAAGCCACCGAAACCTAGAATTCACCCGTGCGTATCAGCCTGTTTATAATTCCCATGGCTACTGCCAGTCCCGACTCTTTCCCCTCCTCGTGCCTGTGAAGTCCATGGGCAAAATCCAGTCATGATTCAAAAGCATGGAGTCTAGGAGGTGCGTCTCCCGAGCTGCCATCACTCTGGATATCTTGCCCCATTTCAAGTCGCAGCAGGTCGGTTTGCCCGTCGCTGGTAAGTCCACCTGCGTTGCCGGTTTCTCAGCCGTATCTCCTACATCCCTTTGCTTTGCAGGAAGGACCTGAGCGACTCAGACCACGATTATGACGACGTGGACATGTAAGTGGAAGAATCTCCCCGAGGAGGATTCTGTCCGCCTGGGATCCAGCCCACAAGCCAGACCCAACCCACTAGCGGTTATGCTACAGAGGCCCCCTCAGCCGACACAAAATATTCCCTCTCCGCGGGGCTGCGTGTTTTTACTAAGTAAGGCCAGTGGGCTGTGGCAGCAGGGAATAAGCCGTGGGGCTGGGGACCACTCTGTGATGCCGGAGTTCGCGGGCCTACTCAGAACAGGCGGGTGTGCCCAAGACTGGCCCGTCGCGCGCCTGCGCGTGGATCGCTCTCTCATGGGGAAGCGGCTGGGCTCTTGCTGCCCAGACGGACGGGCTGCCACTGGTCGGCGCACTTCCTGCGCACCCGCTCTGTCCCCTCATCTTAAGCGCACGGAGCGTCGAACGCCGCAAAACAGATCCCTCCGGGTCGCCAATCTCGCCCTAAGCACCCGGGGGAGGTGGCAATGTACTTTCCTCAGTCAGTATAGATTCCGATCCGCAGCACAGCATCCAGACCATCCTGCACCAACTTCGCCACTACGGCTTGGCCGTTTGCAGGAAGCGGTGGCCCTGGGGGGGGAGGCAGTGATCTCCCCCCTGCACTCCCTTGGCCCCCAATCAAGGTCCCCTTCTCCCCAAAGCTACTGTTGGAACTACAGCGCAGAGGAGGGGTAGACGAGGCGCAAGGGCCCGCTCTGTGCCTGCATGCCGTGTCTGCTCGATGCTTCCAGAGGCCCGAGTTGTGCCCAAAGGGCAAATGATCTGAAGTGTGAAAAGGAGACCGGGGGGGGGGGGGGGGGGGGGCAGCGCGGTGTGGTGCCTGTCGCTCGCCCTTGGCTGGGCTGTGGGAGGGGCTGGAGCCAGGGGGGTGCGCTGGAGCCAGAAGGGCGGGCGGGCTCAGCCCCCCGTGGCGTTCCACACAGCAGCCCCTCCGCTCCTGGCACCCAGAGGGCTCCTCTAACGCTCGCTTGCATTTCTTCCCCTCACGGCACCGCTTCATGCCTGCCCTCAGCCCCAGCAGAAGCCATCCGAGCAGGTACCTCTTTCCAGGTGGATTTTCCAGTGTCGATATGGGGAAGAGTGGTGGGGCAGAGTGGGGGGCCGCGCTCCGTCCGCCTGGCCGTCGGCTGGAGTGCTGTGACATCACACAGTGCTGGCAGCTGCCCCCCCCCCGCCCAGCTTAGAGGGGCGCTGAGTCCCAGAGCGGTGGGGCTCAGCTCCTGTGAGGGAGGACGTGTGCTTGGTTTGGGCAACGGGAGGCTGTGATGTGCTGAGGGGAGAGGGGGCTGCTGAGAGGGGAGCAGGGAGCGAGGGACGGATCCAGGGGGGTGCGGGGCCGGAAGGACGCAGGCACCAAGGCGGCGGGCACGGGGAGGAGAGCTTTGCGTGGACCGGTGAGCCGAAGGGGCTCCTCCTGCCGCGGGGACGGGGGGCCCTGCCCCTTCCCTCGGCCACCGGTCATCGGTGGCTTCCCAGCTTTTGCACAGAAGTCAAGTTGCAGTCAAGTTGCAACAACCAGATTCAGGCTCCACAGCAGGAAGCGCTTCCTCACCATCAGAGCAAGACGACACAGACCCAGCGGCCTGCGCAGGTCGTGGGCCTCCCACACCACACTACATTCAAAAAGAAACTGGATGGCCATCTGAGTGGGATGGTGTGAACTGGTTTCCAGTAACAGCAGTGGGAGGGCCCATGGGTGGGGGCGGGGGGAGAAGAATGGGAAACGGGACCACCTGCACTGTCCTGGAACCTCTCTCCTCTTCGCTTCCTTTCAGTGAGACCTCAGCGGCTGAGCCCCCTCCCCCGCTGCCTCCCAAGGTAAGTCAGAGAGCCCCCCCCCCGCATGCACATACTTTCGAAGGAAAAAATAAAGCCGAGGCCAGCCGCCATGGGGGAGTGGCCGGGGGTGTGCCTGGCCCCCCAGCACTGGATGCTCCCCACTTACTTGGATGCAGCTCCCCAGGGCAGGGCAGGGCAGGGCAGGGGCAGCCCAAAGGCTGCCGAGGGTTGCGCGCCTGCCATGCGCTCTCTTTCCACGCCGAGAGACCGCATCTTAACCGAGCTGTGACCACCTGCACCCTTCTTTCTGCAGCCCAAACTCTGGATCTCCCCGGATGAGACCGTGGCGGAACGAGTCCCCTTGCGGCGCCCTGCCAAGCCCATCTTCCGTGGGCGCTGCTCTAGTGGCCCCGTGATGAGCTGGGCTCCTCAGCAAGCCACGCCGGCGGAGGCCCAGCTCGCCCACCTCACCGCCAGATCAGGTACCGAAATAGCCAGGAGGAGCGACCCCCACGTGCGGGCGTGCGGGCCGCTGGCAGAAACGGCCGTGCGGAGCCATGGGCAGAGTCGGGGAGCCGCGGCCATCCCCCCAAGGCCGATGCCGCCCCGTGTCATCCCTGGCAGTCCAGCCACCATCCTCTTCATTAGAAGCAACCGCCTAAGGGCCCACTCTGAAAGGGCCAGCCGCCTGATGGGACATGCTGGGAAGGGTCCTGAGGCCGCCCGCCCGCCCGCCCCGTGCTGAGGCTGAGGCTGAGCAGGGCCGGGTCTGGTCAGGGCTTGGAGGGGAGGCCGCCCAGAACTGCATGCAGCCCCCTCGAGTTCCACCACAAAAGGAAGGCGGGACAGGAACGAATGAAATGCGCAGGAGTCTCGCAGCCCCTGCCTCAGGAGGCATTTCCAGGAAATGTGCAGCCAGTCTCCACCCAGTTCCGCGTTAGGGAGTCAGTCCCGGGACTGAGGTTCTGGTAGATCCCCCCCCCCCCCCACCACTTCTGAAAGGGTGAAATGCGCCTCCTGTGGCTTAAGTGATGGTGGTGACCTGGACCTGCCCCCTTGGCCTCCCAAGGCAGTTTAACATGGAATGTGGCCCTTGGGCTGCAAGAGCCCCCCCACCCCACCCCACCCCACCCAGGTGTAAGGGCCCTGCAGTGACTCACAAGCCTCAGAAGTCTGTGCTGTAAGGAGAAGATCCAGGTTCTGTTTCAGCAAGTCGGGAGCAGGCGGCTAAGCCCTGAGTCAGGAAGCCCTTGGTCAGGTTCTCACCTCCCTGGGGAAGTCGCCAGGTGTCGGGCCTCAGCCAAGCTCAGAAATGAGCTGCGGCTGCAGGAGGGAGAAGGGCCCCCATTAAAGGGCCAGAGGCGGTTGGGATGCACGGGTGGCTGGGGGCAGGCCGAGGCAGCACGGGGTGTGGGCAGCCGCGGGGCAAGCTGCTGCAGCCTGCCTGCCTGCCTGCCGCTCCCGGTCAGCCTGGCCAGTGGCCAGGGGGTGCTGCCGTCCGGCGGACCTGGAGGGCGCCAGCAGGGGCAGGCTGGGCTGGATGCAGCCCAGGGAGAGCCAGTCCTCGGCTGCGAGACTCGACGAAGGTGCACCGGGGGAACGGAGACCGGGCGCCCTCCTCCCAGGCCCCCTGCAGGAGGGGCGGGTTAGGATGGGAGCCATTGCCAGTCGCGTGTGGTGTGGTGTGTCGGCGGGGTTGGGGTGGGAGTGGTGGCGGGTGCAGCCCAGCACACGGGGAGGCTGCCAGCTCCGGCGGCCGAGAAGCCGGCTTAAGGCCAGAGTAGACGCTCCGTCTACCACAGCCGCCACGTGCGCTACAGGTGCAGGGCCTTTGCTACAAAACGCACCCGACCGCTGCCGGACGTTCTGTTGCCCCGGCACTCGCTGGAGACATGGGGCGGGTGGAGCAGGGCTGGGCCAGCGGGAGATTTTCTCCCCCAGTGCGAATCCCAGAGCGGGAGGAAGGCCCTTTCTCAGGACAGCTGGGAAGAAAAGAGCGGAATCCCCCCTCCAAGCCTGCCTTGATCAGCACGTCCCCCGCTTTTTTAAAATTTGCGTGTTTACACGGTTTTTTTGTAGAGAGTGAGCTCGATCCACAGAGTTTCGCCTGCCACAAGATGCTGCAAAAGGTCAGGGGCGGGAGCCTGGATGGTGCCCTCACCTGACTGCCTTATACTGTAGGCTTAGACGTTCTCCTCTGTCCTCAGCAGTGCCATCTGAAGTATGCTGGATAATTGTGATGGCCTGCCTTGCAGGGTTGTTGCAATAGCTACACCAGCTTTGTCTTCATTTGCTTTGTTTCAGTCATTAACCAGAAAAAAGTCTCGATGCTGGACAAAGTAATTCAAGTGGTTTACGCATTAAAATGTGTTTTGTGTGCTACTAGATCAGTTTAAAGTATGTGACATAAAGCCCATTTTCAGCAGAGTTACTCTAGGAACAATATTTGGCAGATCTGACCAGCATCTATGATTTTAAAAATAGCAGCATGTATCCCTTACCTATCAAGATGGAGAGCATTAAAGGAAACAGCACAATTACCCTCAACCGAGCTGTTTCCACAGAGACAAACCCACAAATGATCAATATTACTGTATCCTCCCTCCAGTACAGAAGTGGCCAGTAGTTGAAATCCTAGCAAATTTTTGTCTATTTTGATTAAGGAATTCCCCAGTTCATGTTGATCTGTCTGGTCTTGTCGCCTCGATTCCAACCTGAGGAAACCAAATCACACCAAGAGCACCCAAATTCGAGTTGCAAGACAGCGACAGGCATGCCATAATTTGAACAGCACCACCCCAGTCTCCATCCTGCCCCCTGACCTACTGTAGCTTCCTCCAAACGGAGGCCAATGGCCAGGCTGGCTGGGGAGGATGGGATTGTAGTCCAATACATGGAGGGCACCAGACTGGAGAACACTGCAGTTCGGTCTAAGCAGCGGTCAAGGAAAGGATCGCACTGTCCTCTGAGAGGCCTGCCTTCGTCTCCCGCCCTGCTTCTCTTCCCTGCCTGGGCTTGGCGTGCGACACCTCTGGGGGAAGCAGCCGTGTGGCCTGTTGTGAGGCTCTGTGACAGGCGACTGCATGCCTTGACAACCATTAGCAAATTGTGCAGCATGTGACCAGTGGGCTTGTGGGTGGGGAAGAGCCACTGCCACGGCCTCTTTTCCCCAGTGATCACGTGGCCCCCGTGGTTAATTGTAGACCAGAAGCCTCCTGGGGCAGGATCTGTCCTCTGATGCTTTGAAATGCGCCACACATGTGTAAGGGGCCACCTTAATTCTTATTAAAATAGTTCCATTGACTGGGATGTGAATGAGAGACGATTTGAATACACCCAGCCCTGACCGGAAAGAGCCCATGCCCCCCACTGCCTTTGCCAAATGTTGCCTTAAGCCAGGCTCGATCGCCCTTGGTGTCAGGACAGGTGCTGGAGAGCGGGGAGGCCTGAGTCTTATTTTGGCCCTTTGCAGTCCCCGAACTGCGACCCGTCCCCCAGAACGAAGAGCCACCCGTCCTTCCACCCAAGCCGGAGAAGAAGCAGAAACCGGTAAGTGCACAGAGCCTGCATGCTCATCCTCTCTAAGCTTTCATTAGTCAGAGCCCTCTTTCTAGTTCTTGATTAAAGTGGTGCTGGGAGGCCGAGGAGGTCATATCAACAACCAAAACACACCATTTCCAGTGCAACACTGCAAAAATAAGCCCACAAAAGATACCAAAGTGTGAAGGAGTAGCAGCTGGACAACCCCAGGGAGCCCCCTGCACCCGGGTTTCTGTCCAAGCCGCTTGTCTGACACCACACCTCCAGCTGTGAGGCTCTGCTTCTTGCACAGGCGCGCAATGCGCAGCCTTCTCTGATGAAGGCACAGACCATCATCCTCTGAGATAGTGCGGCCCCTCTCCATTGCAGGTGACTGGGTGACCCTGTCGCACCTGGTGCAGAGAGGCAGGAGAATGACCCATTCCCAAGGAGCATACCTCGAAGGAGGTCAGGCAGGGACTCATGCTGAGATGCAACGAGCTGCTTCCCTCGGGGCCCGAGTGTGTCCCTGCGCCACGTGTGCCTGCATCAAGCAATTCAGTAGAATGACTCCCAGCAGAGGCTGGTGAAAGGGAGACATGACCTCAGAGCAGGGACTCCTTCTGGGAACAGCAGGTCAACCTCCTCTGTATGGTCATGGCTGGTTTGAACTCTTGGCCAGTAAGTCTTGCATGATTTAGTTTATTTCTAGGGCGCGCTCCGTGCAGTGAGATGAGAAGAGGGGGCAGTTGTGTCCTGAGGATGGTGCTCGGGGCAAGATGGCCGAGTGGTTGGAGCACCCAGGACACTCTCTGCTCAGAGGTGACCGCGGCATCCTTCTCTTTGCAGGCCCGGGCGCTCTTCAGGAAGATTTTTAACGAGTGCCCCTTGCACGTCACCTCAGTGACTGCGTGGACCCATCCAAGTACCAACGGTAGGAGTGGGGCCGAGCAGCCGGGTGGGAGGCCAGTGCCCAGGCGATTCCCCTAAGGAGAGACTCACCATCGCCCCCCCAGGCCCCCGCTGGGTTCCTTGTCAGTGCTGGGCCTGCTTCAGCATCCTAGTCCTCGCTCATGAGCACGCCTGCAGCAGTGTTCGTAGCATCGTGGAACGGGGGTGCATAGCTTTGGGGGGTCTTTCCTGCCTTGCCTCCTTAGGCTCGCCCTACTTGGCCGAGTCCCCGTGGGTTCCCAGCCCCGCCAGACCCTTCCGCCAGGGCACAAAGGCAATAGCCTGCGGAAGAGGGGACCCCTGGGGTGCCGTCCTGGGCTCAGTGCAAGCTGTAACGGAGTGATGCCGTCGGCTGTTCCCCTGCCGCCGCCTGTGTTTCCTCCCCGTTTTGCAGAGCCACACTTGATTCTGGGTGCCGAAGAAGGGATATTTGCCTTGAATCGGAGCGAGCTGGAACCCACCCTGGAGCTGGTGAGACGGACGGGCTGCTGCGGGGAGGGCTTGGAAGACGAGAACCCACATGGGAGGGGGCGGGACAGAGGAGGAGGGCCGCTAGCATCTGACAGTGGTGCAGCAGAACAGACGGTTAAAAGCCTCAGACAGGATTGCTTAACCTGGATTAATTGCCACTCTTTTACCACTTTGCCATCCTTGCCATCAAGCTTGGAATTGGTGGATTCCAAGGAAGCACCTCTACGCTCCCCTCACATGTAGTGGCTGGATAGGTTTGGGGTGGGAGGGATTTTACTTTTAGAAGTAAAACAACATTAGTCTACAATCCTTACAACAGCTTTGTACTGTTATCCCCCTAAAACCATCGCCTTGGAATTATAATGAATTACAATTCCGTTACATGAGATATTTTTCACTGAATCAGCCGATACGGAGCAACCAGAGTTAAAAATCAGGCATAAGCGAGGGTTAAAATATGCCTGGCTTGCCAAACCCACCCAAAGGCCCTTAAACAGCTGCTTGAAGGCCAGCAATGGGTGAGCCGCTCCGGGAGCCCCCCAAAAGCCACTGCTGAATAATGTTGTGATCTGCCTGCAGGATTGTGAGCTCTTTCTCCTCTTTCCCTCCTTTCGCCAAGCTCTACCACAGCCGCACAACTTGGGTGTACTGTATCGGGAACGTGCTCATGTCCCTTTCTGGTGAGTGGGCCGCACTGGGGCAGGGAGGGAGTGGGTGGCTGCGGGACCGAGGGGCTGAGAAGCGCGGAACAGCCGGCGTGTGTCAGCAGAGTGCAGAGATGAGGGCGAAGGCTTTGCGGGGCCGAGCCGTGTGGGGTGGGAGGAATCCGTGTTGCTCTGTGGAGGAGTGAGGATGGCCGTGGTGAAGAGCCGTTTCCTTCTGAGCCAGGCGACGGCCGTTCTGCGGCCTGCGTCTGTCGGTCTGGGAGGGCGGCCGTTTGCACGGGGACTTTTCAAGCGGAGGCTCAACAGACTGAATCTGGGGCACATGGCATTGCAAGGAAAGATCTGGTGGGCGAGGCTGGAGGCCCTTCTCTACCAGGGCTTGCGCTTGCGCCAGGATCATTCCAACTTGTTTGCTGGTTAATCTTGGTGTCCCACTTTAATTACCTCCCCAAGCATCCTAAACCCCACAAAATGAACATTTTTAATTGGGGTACAGAGGAAAGCCTCTGCTCTTTGTCCATGCTAAGCTAAGGACAAGGATGAGGAGATGCCGCCGCCTGCTCGCTCGCTGCCTTTCTGCCGGCCAAATAGGCAGAGGGTAGCAGTGACTCCGGGGGACGGTGGAGGACAGGAAGGCCTGGAGGAAGGTTGTCCATGGGGTCGCGATGGGTTGGACACGACTTCGCGACTAACAACAACAGTGGTGAAAAGGGAGAGAGGAGAGCATCCTGAGCCGGTGAGAGAGGAAGCTCACTGAGGGAAAGGGCTCGCTAGGGATGCCTTCCTTGCCTTTGGCCCGTCGGAAACCAGGAGCCGGCCCTGATGCCGGCCCAGGGAAACAGGCTAGTCTGCAGAAAAGGGCAGGCGACGCTTTGTGTGGCACGAGCACGGGCACTGCTGCCTGCTGGTTTCTGCAGATCCAGGGGCTGGCAAAGGGGTGGAAGCAGCGGGTCACTGGCAGCCCAAAGTCCAGCACGGGCGCCTCAAAGCCTTCATTCTTGCAGCCTCAAGTTTTACCACATGGAAGTGAGAAATGCTTCTCTGACCTTTTCTTGAAAATGGTTCAAGGAAGGTCAGAAGTCCCCTGTAAGAGACAGAAACTTGCTGCAAATGAAAGTGAATGAGCACCACTTTCTTTGGGGAAAGTCTCTGTGTTTTAAAAAGCACATTCTTCCTGGAAGGAGATGAAAAGTTCTAATTAGAATTACTGGGCACCCTTTGTAAGCCCTTTGCAAGTTTCAGTAGCTAGATTATGCAAACCGATCAGCTCTGGCCCAGTGACTCCAGCAGCAGCTTTAGCCGCAGAACTTGGCAAGAGGCATGAAAATAATCATTACCGCTTGCTAATGTCTGGAGATCGATTTGCTGTTAAAACTGCAGAAACAGGACTGTTAAAAAAGTGCATTCTTTCTATTGGTTATAATGTTTACCAAGACTTTAACCAGCTTTAAAACTGTTATTTAAAAGTATGAATTGAATCTGCATAAGCAATTGAAATCTAAGGCAGTCACGCAGGGAAAGCATGAAGAAGGGTCGAAGGGCTGAGCACAATCCTGGCAGAACATTACTCAGCACGCATTACTGAGAACTCAGGAGGAGCCCTGCTGGCTACAAGGAACGCCCTCCCAGCCCAGCATCCTGCCCCCCACAGTGGCAACCAGGTGCCCTGCTAGCAAGCCAGACGTGGAGGCCATGGCCTTGCCTCAGTCCTACAGGTCGGGCTGAACAGAACGCCCCCGATGAATTACGCCCCCTGCAAGCAGCTCCCGTCTCTTTCTCCTCTTTCCCCTCCACTCAGGCAAGTCCCCGCAGCTCTTTTCCCATAATTTGCTGGGCCTCTACGAGCAGAGCAAGCGAGAGCAGCGCCCCGGGCTGTCCATCTCCCCACACAGGCTGCTGCCCAGGTAATTCGTTTCTCAGGAAGGGTGCGAAAGGGGGGCCGAGGAAGACGGTGTGCAGGTGGGCACAGCTCCGTAGCTGCTCCTTCAGCTCCTCAACACTCACACGCATCTGAAGTTGCTGTCACCATCGGTTTCTGGCAGGGCTTTTTTTTCATTCAGGGGCCACCCAACCGGTAAAAAATGCAAAAGTTTCTTCCTGCCCCCTCCAGTCCTTTGCAGGAAGCTAGTGCTGCTAAATCTCTGCTTGCAGCAGTTAAAGGGGAGGAGCCCAGGTTGCAGAGGGAAATAAATGTCGGCAGCTGGATGGAGATTTGAAATGTCAGGGAATCGAAGAAGAGCGGGCTCAGAGTCTCCCTGGGACTGAGGTGGAAAAGGCAAGCATTGGAGGCAGAAGTAGCCGAGTGTATGGCAAGCGAGAGGGGGACGTTTTGCACATGTGCATCGCCACAGGAAGCTTCCAGGTCTGCCCTGCACGAAAAGTCCGCTCAAGGACAGGGCTAGAGACAGGTGGACTGGTAGAACAAAGGCTCTGTAAGGAAGGAAATGGGTGCAAGGAGGGACAGGGTACCTGCTGTGGTTCAGGCTCAGGCTACTGTGGCCAAATTCCCATCGGTTCCTGCAGCTGTGCCTTCTGTAGTATTTTAACACTGCTACTGCTAAGTAAACGAAGCATAAATAGAGCAAATAAAGGCCAGCACATCTGGCCTTTTATACAGTTCCATAAGCAAACACCTCTTTAGGAAGATCCCTGATCTCAGGGAATTTAGCATCTAAGCTACACAGCATCAGAAAGAATGGTGTGGGGTGGATTCAAACAAAGCACCTCACACTTCCTGCCTTCACACCCTCTGGAACAATACAGCAGACATGTTCCCCCTGCCCGCATCTCCGCACCTCCCCACGTGCCGCTGACCTTTCCTCTTCTCTCCCACCGCCCCAGGAAAAACATCACCACCAGCAAGATTCCAGATACCAAAGGATGCCAGAAATGTTGCACAGGTGAGCGCTCTCCCAAGGCTAGCCTGCAGCTGGTACCGCGTGTCTCACACTCCCCGCCCCTCCTTTCCTTTCCTGTGTACACAAACCAGGCTTACAGAAATCCCACCGGACCCACAGCAAGCACGGGAGGGCAGCAGCGACAGAGGATTTTGACCCCCGTTATAGCCTATTCCTCCCTTCCCACAGCAAAAAACACACAGACCGGCTGCCATTACCTCTGTGGCGCACTGGAGGCAGGGGTCGTGCTGCTGCAGTGGTACGAACCCATGCAGAAATTCATGCTGGTCAAGGTAAGGCCTCGTCTTGGGGCTAGAGCGACCCTTCCCTCGTTGGCAGGCCCAGCTCGAATTAACCGGCCACACCCAGGCAGAGCCTACCTGGAAGGAGGCAAACCTAGAGAAGGTGCAGCTGGCACCGTCCTCTCTCCGCACACGGTCTGGGCACCGCTGCCCTGCCACTGCGAGAGGGATGTGCCGAGCGCCCGGGAAGCGAGCCGTACGTGTCCTGCCTGTTCTCCTAAGAGGGCTTGTTTCTGCCGAGGGCCAGGCCTCTCCTCCTCTTCCTCTCTTTTGCCAGTATTTTGACTTCCCACTGCCCTCACCGCTTCCTGTGTTCGAGATGCTGGTGACCCCTGACGAGGAGTACCCGGCGGTCTGCATCGGCGTGAGCAAGGGTCCTCCGGGGCAGCCGGTGCAGTTCCAGATCATCAACCTCAACTCGCTCACCTCCTGGTTCATCGATGACGGCAGTGGTAAGGCCACAAGAAGCACGCCTGTCTCCGCGGGGGCCAAGGCCCAGAAATACGGCCCGGGAGCAGGCGGGCAATCAGGAAAGCGTGGGAAGCAGACCGCTCACTGTGCAGCATGCCAGGCTTCCCCTTTTTTAAAAGTCTGATGACTGAAGCAGCTTTTTACAAAGTTGGCATGGGGCTGGGGTGGGGTGGGGTGGGGTGGAAGGTGGCCAGAGGATCTCCATGGCCGTGGTGTTGAAGGTTCCCACTGTAGAGCATGCGGATCCTCATTTGTGCCCTGGAGAACCTGGTCAGAGAGGCGTGTGTGTGAACGGACGGGTTCCCCATCGCTTGTGCGTTCTGAGGGTGGCCAGCAGGAACAAGGCTGCCAGTAGCGTTGCACTGAATTTCAGCAAGGAGAGGAAAGCTGCCCTGGGCAAAATCCTCTTTTTCTACTGAACAGGAAGGCTGTTGTCTCCCTTTCCGTCTGGCCACCTTCCAGTGTGGCTGCTGGCCTGCCCCTCCGCCTCAGAACAGGTGGATCAGTGCCTGATTGCTAAAGGAAGGGCAGAAATTAATGCTCTGCTCTATTCCCGTCAATACATTTCTCAGCAGAACCTGCATGCTCTGGTCTGGTCCAGGTGACCCAGCTGGACAGCAAGACGGTGCTGGTCCTGATGGACAGTAAGTGCAGAGGGAGGGGGAGCAGCTCACAGGTGGTGGGGGGCGCGATTTCTCACCCGAGGCAACATGCTGTTTTCCTTTCCCAGGGAGCATCCATTTTGTCAGTCTCCAAGGAACGCGGCTCCAGTCACACCCAGAGCTCACGTTTGACGTGGCCGTGGAGTCCGTCGGTGGGTCCCTTTGGCGCGCCCCCTTCATTATTCTCCCCTCCCATCCTTGCTTGCTGTGGTCTGCCGTCTCGCCCCATGCCAAGCTGCTTTTGAGGAAGCTGCATTTTGGCATCAGCTGAGGGATCCCGAGCGAAAGAACTTCTGCTCCCCATCTGAGCACCAAATATCCCTAGCCTTCAAAATGCTGCTTTCTGCGCACCGCTTTTGGTTTGGGGTGGTGCCTGCTCTGGGTTATGCTGGCTTCTCTGTGGAGGATGGAGGACGTGCCTGTGGATCGATCCCTGAGTGGGCTCGTGCCTCCGCGTAAGGCTGGGGTCCGTTTCTGGCCCAAAGCATTTGCGCTGCTCTCCAGAAACAGCCGCAGCATTTCCACACCTAATGAGCGTTTTCGCTATGGTCTTGTGCGGCCTTCACTGTGGGGAAGGGAAACAGAGAAAGGCACCGAGGTGTGAGCTGAACAGCCTCTCTTCTCTCCCCAGCGGTGGTGCAGAACTGTGTGCATGCATTTTGGCGCCATGGCGTGCAGACGCGGCCCTTTGGTTCAGGACAGGTACGCAGGGAAACGTCCTCTTTCCAGAGTTGTGTTGTAGAGGCGCTTGGGACGCTCCGCCAGGGACAGCAGTGGGAGGAGATTCCTGCTGCAGCGCAGCCTCAACCTCCGTCTCCCTCCACCTTTCTGCGGGTGTTGTCAGGCCTAAGCACTAGAGCCCCCGGACCGCCCACTCCAGAAGACTCTTTGTCCTCCCCAGCCGCCTGGGGACACGCCTACATTTGAAGGGCTGTTCTGCCCAAATCTAGTTTAAAGATCAGGATCCATCAGAGACTTCAGTGCCCTGCACTGAAGTCTCTCATCTCTGGAGCTGGGGGCCCTGCTGAGCACTATCTCAGGGGGCCGCCTAGACTTCTGCTGGAACTCGTGCTGACATGGTGCCACCTCTCCTCAGGTAGCACGGGAGCTGCAGGATCAGCGGTGGACCTTCCGCTTACTAGGTGCCTCCAGGTAGGAAGACCTGCCCCTGCCCTGGCCACCCAGTTCCATGCTGCTGCCACAAGGAGCAGCAGCAGCAGCAGCAGCAGCACCTGCTGCAACCTCCGTGCAATGCGGTGCAGCCCTCTGGAGTCAGGATACCACCAGGCTCTTGCTCACCTGACCTGCCCGATCCCCACTGGCTGCGCGGTTTTCCTGCTAATTTTTCTTCTCCTTCCTCTAACAGCACGGTCGTCTTAGAGACTCGCCCCGTGGACGATCCCAACTCTGCCAGCAATCTTTACGTGCCAGAATGACACTCGCCGGACGTTGAACTAAGAGCTCTGCACTCTCCCGTCATGCCAAATCCTGTGCCTGGCCCGCGGGGCCGCCTCCAGTCGCAGGCGGTACACAGCTCCAGCGTGGGCACTGATGCTCCTGAAGCTGGTAAGGGGAAGGCCAGGCTGGGACAGCCGATTCACATTTCGTGGGGAGCCTGGCAGTGCGAGCCATCGGGCTGGCTTCTGGGGCTCCCCGCCAACTGGAACGAGCTCCTCACACCCCCTCTCCCAGTTCTGCGTCTTCCTTGCACACCAGTAAAGATTATGTTCAGGGTCTGTTCCTTTTCAGTGACAGTTCTTACTTCTCCACTCCGTTTTTTGTTTGTGGAAGGTCATCAGCCTAGCTAAGCTCCTGAATGAGTGTGTGGGCCGCACGGCGGGTGCTGGGTTGGGTCTAGAGCACACAAAACATACGGAAAGATCCGGAATGTCCCTGCAGTTCAAACAGAGCGGGCTCCTGGCTTGAGAACAGGCGTCTGAGCCGAACAGTTACACGCAGCCCCTGGAGCGGTCAGACTCCCACGGGCTCTGGCCTTCTGCGCACCGCGGCTCCGTGCCGGTTCCTGATCCTGGCTCCAGCTGTGCCTCTGAATGGGGTGAGGAACCGGGAAAGAGGAACTAGGCCAGCCTCGTGCAGTGCTTGGAGGGAGTGTGTGTGTGTGTGCGCGAGTGTGTGTGGGCAACACAGAAGGACCACGCCCAGGCACCGGCCAGTTGCAGCAGTCTATGTTTTATTGGCAGGGAACCAAGCTGGGGCAGAAGGGAGAGAAGGGCAGAGGGGCCTGAAAGCACAGCCGCCCCCACACACGTCCCCGGAACAGGCCTGGCTTAGAACATCATCTGGTGCTACAGCAGACGGGGCGGGGGGTGGACGGGAAGTTCCAGGCGGGAGTGGAAGGGGCTGTGACTCCCTGGAGTGTGGTGCCGCGCCCGTCCTGGTGCCCGGCGCATACAGACGCGCCGAGCGGGTCGTGGGCGCTCCCCCTCGGCTCCAGACTGGAGTCGCAGACCCAGGGAAGCCCACGACACGAACGTAAGCCCAGCGAATGAGGCGCGGCTTAGAGGAAGGGCACCGTTGCGAGGGCTCCTGAAGCGGCAGCAGGCGCTGCTGGCTCCCCCGTGGGGCCTGGACTGGAAGCCTGGCATCTCTTTCCTGTGCTCCCCCACGTACAGAGTCCCTGCAAAACCACGGACGGATGGCAGCAAAACGACCCCCCCCCGTCCATCTGAAACAGCATCTGCTCCCACAGTCAAAACAGGCCCTTCCTCTTCCCTCGGGGGAAGAGTCTCTAAAAGGCACTTGAAATGGGGGGCCCTTTGACCCAGGAAGGGAAGTATTGCACGGGCGCCCCCACGGGAGGGGGAACAGGTGGGGAGAGTTACTGGCCGGGCGTGCGGCCCCAGGTGCAGAGGGCCCGCGGGGCCAGAGCCACTGGGCCGTGTCTCCCGGGAGCAGGGTCGCTCGCCTCCTCGCTTGTCCCTCCAGGCCTGGCTAAGGGGGCAGAGAGGCAGGGTAGCGGCAGGACGCGGAAGAAATGGCGATGGCGGCGGGCAGCCAGGGCAGCCCACCCTCCCCCCGGCTCTGCCCCACTGCCGCCCACCTCCCGCTGAAGGCCGGGGGAGGCGGGCGACGGAGCGGGCTGCTGCCCAGGGCACAAGGCAGGAGGTGGCTAGCTGAGCTGGTCTTCGTACTGCTTGCGGAAGCAGTCGCCGGCAGGGAAGAAGTCCCAGCAGCGCTCCTGGTACATCTTCCAGACGTAGGACTCCTGGGGCAGAGCGGGAGAGGGGAGGTGGGTGAGAGGGGGGCGCGCCTGCCGGGGAGCCAGCCATGGAGGCGGCCGCGTGGCGTGCAGCCAAGGGGGGCCACCCCTGACTTTCCCGAGGGGCCTCGCAGTCAGCACGCCGTGCGGCCTCCAGCGGACACCGCCCTGCCTTGCCTCTGCCCTCGCGAAGGGCAGAGGGCTCCTGACCTGGCTCTGGCTGGGGCGGCCGGGGCTCCGGCCCACCCCAGCTCCCCTCCCAAGCCTGTCGCTCGAGCAGCGGCAACCGGCCTGCCGGGCCAGAGGCGTGGGGGGGGGGGGCTTAATGCAGGGCTGCCAGTTGTGGACCCCCCATGCCTTTAAACGGGCAGGCAGACTCTCCGGGGACGGCCACCCCTTTCCTGGCCCTCTCACCTGGCCAGTGTGCTCCGTTTCGTCCTTGTTGATGAGGTACATGAGGAAGAACCTGCAAGGGGAAGAGCGGCGGAGTGGAGTGGAGTGGAGGGTGCGGCGGGCCAAGCGCCCCCTCGGCTCTCCACTGCATTTGGACAAGCCCGCCCTGGCCGCCACGTCAAGGGGTCACTTGCGCCTGCGCCGCACCCGCCCTCGATGGCTTCCTCCCACTGCTCCAGCGGGGCCATTCCCACAGTCAGATGACCATCGCGGCCGCACGAGCAGCATGTGCACGTGTGAACTTGCCCTCCAGGAATGCCCCGCACCCTCATCAAACCAGCAGAGGTGGAACTGCAGCTGCCAAACCGGAGGACCTGGGGCCCCACTGAGAAGTTCCCCCAGGAAGTTCAGTGGCTTACATATAATTAGCCAAGTTGTGCTCCTCCAGCGTGTGGGTATCAAAGCCGTGGGGCGTCGTGTCAAAATAGTCACTGCCGATTCCACAGATGAAGCATTTGGTCTGTCGGGAAAGAAACAGCCATGAGAAAAAGCAGCACGGCTGTGCCAGAGGTGGGGCCGGGCTCCTCCGTCGTGGCCCACCCAAAACCAACCTGCTTCTTCCACCATCTCCAGCTCCAAAGCCAAGTGAACCACTTGTGTTCCCCTCCACGTGCAAAAATTTAGGAAAAGTTTTGGGTTTTGGAAAAATCTGTGGCAGACTCCAATATTAGTTTAGATTTCCATGAAACTGACCCGCAGAGTCTGCAAGGACCAGCTTTTCTTGAATTGCACAGATTCCATGGATTTTAAGGTCTTTTTTTCCCTGTAATTTTACACCAATGTATCCATAAAATATTAAAAAATAAAAAACAACAAAAATGTTCATCCCGTTCCATAAGCTTAAGTATGAAAATGCAAATGGGGGAGGAATTGTTACATGTTTGGAAGTACAAATTTATGTAAGTGAGAACAAATGAAAATTCTGGAGTTGAAAACCAATTCAGTCGTGAAAGGCACCTGATAATTTACAAAATGTATAGACTTAATAGCTATACCCTTCAGCATGCCCAAGTCCTGAATATTCAGCTTTTATTTTAAAAGTAGATTCCTTTGGCTCTTTTGCTGGTGGCAAGAGAAGGGGAAAAGCCCACAGGCAGGATTCTATCCAGCTGCTTAGTAAAGAATAATATGAAAACTTTCCAGCATATTAGGCTTCCTGTCTATATTTTCATCTGGGCCGCTTGGCAGTGATTCCCTGTGTTGTCAGACCCCTACCACCAAACAGTTCTCAGTTATTGGGACCCAGGAGTTCCCGGAGCTCTATTAGCACTGTCCCGCACTGGTTTTATCCTGCAGCTGCAGGCTGGCTGGCTGCCTTCCCCGTCCGTTTTCCATTTCAGCAATGGAGAAATACTATGTAACGTGAAGGCGGGCCTCTTTCAGGGAAGGCTCTTCTAGAGTTCACTTAAATCACCAGGGGAAACCTATCATTTTCATTCATCGTTTTTAATCTTTCCATCCAAGTGGGCAGCTCGCTGTCCCAGCCTCGGAAGGACAGGTAGAAGAGCTTTGGATTCCACTTACCTCCATATCCTCCTTCACCTGCTCCTGCTGGTCTCGCAGCTCCCCAAAGGCGTCAATGATCAAACCTGTGCAGAGAAGAGCGGGGAGGTCACAGAGAAGCTAAGAAAGAGGAAAGGAAATTCAGGGGCTCCAGCAAAGGCTCCCGGGCCCAGCCCTAGAAGTTGGTGATGGATGCAAAGCGTAAGGGTGGGTGACGAACAGCCGTGCCGTTTGAGCTCGATGGGCTTTCAAGACGCTTCCAACCTGATGGCCAAAAAGCAGGTGGAACCAGGGGTGGGGTGGGGGTTGCTCAACTCTTTTGGCAAACTTGAAACTGAAAACTGCACATCTCTCACACAACTGGCACAAATTACAAAATTGCACAGATCAGGGCCCACTTGTTAAAGGTGAGTCAGGACCCTCCTCCTTGTTCTTGTAGCATTAACATGAGAAGTATGGAAGCATCTGCCTCTCTCAGCATATGCGTGCACTCTGCCTTGGCCTCCCCATGCAGCCCCAGGTGACACCCAATGAGGTACCACAACACTGGACAAATTACACATTTGCAGAAATGTATGCAAACTGTGGCACAGTAGGGTTGATTTCTGTGCACATTTCCTTAGCCGAAAACAAAACCAAAACCATGTTGACCTGTTCTGAAAGCAGATGTCTGCCTGCTGGCTCAACTCGGGGCACGCTGGCACCAGTGGAGGGGCGACAGAGAAAGTCAAGGAAAACCACCAGACTTCCTCAGACACGCTCCCCAAGAGTCTCTAGGATGCAGTGCCCTTTGCCACGCCAAGTGTGATGGGGCAGCCACGTGAGGATGTAACACGGTCAGTGGCAAGGACTGAGAACTGAGCCCCGAGAGATCCTGAGGCGGCGTGCTGGAGATTTCCCAGCTCCCACCCGGAGCACCAAAGGCCTGGCCTTGAACTCCTCAGGTCTCCTCTCCCGCTCTTAAGTGCTACCTCGGATCCGGCGGCTGGGGGCGGGGACGGATGGGAGAAATGCAGGACAAATGGGTATTTGTCCTGGTGGAAGGCTCACCTTGGATGATGGCCAGCAGAATGACGATGACGAAGAAGAAGAAGGTGATGTCAAAGATGACGCGGTAAAGCTCGTACTCGTCGCCCGCCGGGTCCTCGATCTCGTCTCCGATGCCACCACCAGCACGCACCCCGACATACATGTGGAACAGGTAGCACTGGTGGAGAACGGGGGGGGGGGGGCACAGAGGATATTCCATCTCAAAGCGTCTCAGCCTTGTTCCCTGTGCTAATGAAACGACCTGAGACGATGGAGCCCGTTGCCCAGTGAGGCCCTCCACCCCTGGAATCGCTGAAGTGCAACCTGGACCCGGCCCCTGAGCATGGCACGGAAGGCTCATCCGTGCAGGGTGCCCCTCAGGAGAGGCATGTCAGGAACGTGCACGTTCGCCATGGGAAGCAAGGCCTCCTCCTAAACATGGCTCCCAGCCACCAGCGCCCCCTGCACCCCCCGGTCTGCCTCACCGTCATCATGTCGTCGCATTTCATGTCGGGCTCATCCTCATCCTCGCTCTTGTTGTAGAACTTGCGGAAGAAGTTGAAGGCAACCACCGTGTACAGGTACACGACGACGGCCAGCAGCCCCACCGTCATCACCAGCTGCGAAGAGAGCAGGTGGCATTCACTGCGCTCGAGAGATGCGGCGGGGAGAAGGCTGCCGGCTGCCTCCAGCATCAGCGGCAGCCCGGGTCTGAGCACCACTGGCTGGGAAAGAGCAGCGGGGGCAGCCTGGGGCCTCCCAGGGACACCTGGCTGGCCGCTCTGGGAACAGGTGGCCTCGGGGGGTGGGCCCTGGGCCTGATGCGGCAGGGCTCCTCTTCGGCCCTTAGCGCAGCCATGTGGGCACCCACCCCACCACCCTCAGGGCAGGCACACTGATCAAGTGCAGAGAGGAATCCAGCAAGATGCTCTGCACAGAATCAAACCTTTGGCCTATCCAATTCAGGCGTGTCTGCTCTGGCTGGCAGTGGCTCTCTGGGGATTCAGGCAGAGTTTTTCCCAGCCCTACCCGGAGATGATGAGGCCTGAACCTCCGCCTGCAAAGGCAGGCCTCTACCACGGAGCCACAGGCCTGTCTTCTGTTGGAGGAACCATGGGTGGAGCGGGGTGGCCGCCATAATCTCACCCGTATAACGGCTCCCTTTAAGGGCATGTGTAGGACGGCTCCCCAGCAAGAGCCGCCTCTCGGGCTGTGCCGACAAGCACTGGTGTGCCAGGCGCAGTTCAGCCTTCGCACGGGGCATGCATGGCTGGTCCCTCAATGCCTCTTAGTCAGAGGTCATTGGCCTGTGTGATAAAACGGGCCGTTCTGTATAGGCTCATGGGGGGGGGGAGGTTTGCTTTGCGCCCCTTCAGTTCTTATCCAACTGCTATTTCAGCCATGCAAGTGTGGAGCTTTTCTATGAGCAGGCGGGGATGAGCAGGCTCTGTGGTTGCTGGGAAACTGCCATCTTCCTCCTCCTCTCCCTTCCCCTGTGAGCATGCAAATGGGCTAGCTAAGACTGCTGAGCAGAAGGGGGGGGGGGGGGGGGGCACGGGACCAGGGAAGAAAAACGGGGGGAAAGGAAAAGGGAAGAGGGCCCATGCACGTGATAGGAACCCCCAGAGGCAGAGATTAATCTGCAGGGGAAACGGGGTGGAAGTAGGGAGGGGGACAGGCTATTTGCCTCCTGAAAATTCCCAGTCGGATGTCCAGGTTCACCATACCAAAGGACAGGTTTCTCCTCTTGAGCTGTCGCTTTACCTGCCCTGACCTGCTCGCCTTACCTGCTTGCCGTTGTGGGTGACGGAGGAGAGGATGGTCCGCAACGTCTTGACGCCCATGGCGATGTCCAGGAGGTGGGAGGCAAAGAAGAAGTTGTTGTAGTGTCCGAGGACAGACATCACCATGTACCAGAAGAGATACAGGAAAGACTGCAGGCGCGAGAGGAGAGGAGAGGAGAGGAGACTGCAAGGTTCCTGTCACATTTTTAAGAACCTTAAACTGTTCATGGGATGCTGGCCTCTACATGGAATAGCAAATTCTGAGCTTGCTCAAAAGAGCATATCAAACTGTGGAACTCATACAGTGTGCAAAGTATTTATTCTGGGAAAATTACCCTATATCCTAAAATTAGGCTCTACAGTCCCAAAGGAACTGAGGTGGTGGTGGAGTCCCAGCCATCCCTGGCATCTCCCTTTAGCTGGTAGCATCATCAGGTGTAGCAGTAAGTCACATAAATGGAGGTTATGTTAGTGGTTCAATTCCTACCCTCAACCAGCTTCCCACCCTCCGTCCATGCATATTTTCACTCACGTTATCTGTGAAGATCACCCCAAATTTCCAGATCTTGTACTTGATGTCAATGGAGGTGACCCTGAGGGAGAGAGAGGAGAAGGATGAGGAGGTAGTTTGTGTGGGTCTCTGTGTGTGTGCACATGTTGACGCTGCTTTATGCTCTGTTGCAAAAAATGACTTAAGAATGTAGCTTGTGAACAGTAAGTGGAGATAAACTTATGTTTGTGCAACAAATCTCTCTCTCTCTCCCTCCCTCATGAGGAAAGTGATTCTATGGCCCCAAGGTATCTTCTGGGAGACTACAGAACACTTCATACACCAGGATCCACGCTGAAAACAGAGATCTGACCTCAGAGGGAGAAGACTGCCCTTGGATCCCCTTTCCCTTCCTCCCACCCTGCGATCAGCATGGAAGGAGCTGCTGCCGCCACTCTGCACTCTGAGGTCAGAAACTCGGCTTCAAAGAGGGGTTAAAAGGGGTTTCAAGGGGGTGGGGCAGGAGACCCCCAAGCTGTCCTGTCCCCTTCTGCTAGATGGCCAAAAGCAGCTGTGTAGTAAAAATGCAGAGCGAAGGGGGCAGGAGATGAAGGTCGCTCCTCCTGCTCTGCACCGGACAGGGGCCAGTCTCCCGTGCAGCGACTCAAGGGCGCGAGGCACTGCCTGCTGGACTGCAGCCTCGGAGGGGCCGCATGTCCCTTGCTCAGCAGCTGCATTCGGCAGTAGTCCCAGGTGTGCCTCTGCAGAGTGTGTGAAAAGGAGACAGTTCCTGTGCATACAGTTAACACCTCTGCCCTCCTGGAATACATGCAGCAAGTATCACAATACAAAAGTGCACTGATCCACACGCTACACGTTGCTAGGAATTCACCTAAGCTGCTGCATATGTATACTTGCAAATATAAACAACACGATGTTGTTATCCTCCCGAGTTCACACACACACACACACGCAGAGCCGTGAGGTTGCCAGGGTTAGCCCAGCTCTCTGCCTAGTGGGCTTTCTGAGATAAATCCATGTTTCCGGTTGTACAATGTCTGCAAAGCCCCTGAGCGTAATGAACAGAGGCTGGAAATGTGCCAGCGTTCAGAGCGCCCCCTCTGCCTGCTTAACCCCAGCCATGCTGCCGCCATGCCTGGCTGCACTGAGGCCACCTCCAGTGCCCCCCACCCAGTGCTGCCGCGCCCCTGGCTCTGCTGCGCCTCCTCACCAACTAAGGAAAGATTTGTCTGGCTCTGGTTTTTTCTCATTCTGCGCCGAGATTTCCAGACTGGACAAATCCATCCCCAGCAGTTCTGCAATCCTCTCCCGTCCATAGATGTCGCCATATTTATCTAGCACCTGGAGAAGGGAGACAAGAGAGCTGAATGGACGGACGGATGGATGGACAGGCAGGCAGGCAGACGGACGGACAAACTGCAGCTAAAAAAGTCATCTTTGTTCCTCTGCAGCCAATAAGACTCCAGATTTTGTCAACCATCCGAGTTTCTCCATCCAAGACGAGCTCACCTTTCTCTTGATGAATTTATCCCAGTAATTGCTTGGGAATGACCTGGAAAGAGACATAATGGGGTGGGGGGAGAGAGAGAAACCATCAGGGGCGTAATCCCCTAGTCCCACTGCCTTCCGGCTTTCTGTCCTACTAGAACAACTTCTGAACACCTCCGTCCCCTCTTTGCATAAAGGTACTTCCCTCCTCTCCTCCCTCTTCCAGACGACTTCTCTCCAAAGGGCCTTCCTAAGCCAGCCTGGCCCACACTCAGCGAATGTGGTACCCACAACCAAAATGAGGGGAGGGATGCCAAAAGAAACAGGATTGGCCAAATCCATGGGGGCTGGGATGATCCACCGCTGACTGGATGCTACTTCCACCTCGCCCAGGCCACGGGGCCTCTGAACGGGGTGGACTTGCTCCTCCACTGTGGCACTCCAGTATCACAGGCCGTACGTCTGTGTGCGCCAGTGGCTTTTCCATGGCTTTACCCAACACCTGGGGTTTAAGCCGCCGGCACCGTGCGAAGCTGCTTCAAAAGCTCCTCCCGTCTCCCGAGCAGAGGGCCGCCGCCTGGGGGAGCAGCCGCTCCTAGCCTTGCCCTGCAGGGGGACTCACGGCGCGTTGAGCACCAGGCGGTCCCACTGGCCCTTGATGTCGTCGTCCTCCGGCTGCTCCGTGATGTAGAGGCCGTCAAACTCCAGCTTGCGGGCCAGCTCCTTCTCGCGCTTGAAGATGACCAGCGGCACCTTGAGGCAGTTGTAGCCGATGATGCAGAGGAAGGCCACCAGCGTGTGGATGATGGCCAAGATCCGCAAGGCCGGCTGCATGTAGCCCGTGCTCTCCTCCAGGAAGAAGTAAACCATGCTGTCCTCGTCGTCCTCGTCCCCGTTGCCGTCTCCGCCGTCATCTTCCCCGCCAAAGCCAGAGTCCGCACCGGAGCCAGCATCCAGCTCTCCTTCGAACCCGGAGCCTTCAAATTCCTCCTCGCCTGGTGGCGTGTCTGACACCTGGGCCAAGGAAACAACAGCGAGAAAGGAGGTCGGCGAGTCTCCCCTTCCCAAGCCAGGGCTGCGCAGGCTGGCTAGTTCCTGGTCCTACGGTGCATCCACTAAGCCGAAGCGCTGGCGAGTGGACGCAGCAACGCTGGCTTCCACCCACGTTTGTCCTTCTGCTTCAGCCACCATAGCAGCGGCCTGCCTCTTCTGTGCCATGTCCTCCTCCCTGCCCCGTGTCTTCTTCTCAGGCTCTGCCCGGCTTCTCTGGTTCCAGAATGCTTGGCCACAACCTGCCACACCTGCTGTGCCCTCCCACAACTCCCAAAGGCCGGCACAGTCTCCTCCTCCGGCCTTCCCTAACTGCTGGAGTTTACTTCATGCTCCCCCTTCCAAAACGCTGGAGAGAAATGGAAGCGCTTGGGTGTTCCTATCCCCACCCCATCCGCTGATTCCCCAGCTTCCCTCTCAACAGAGTTTCAGTTCTCGTACCTTGTAGAACAGCAGGATGAAGTTGATGGCGAAGGCCAGGAAGAGGGCGAGGAAGCGGAGGTTGTAGAAGTTCCTGGACAGATAATTCTGAAAGGAGGGTGGAGAACATCAGAGCAGGTCAGGGGGCTACGTTTGCCGTAAACGCAAAGGCCCACTTGAGAATGTCAGCTGAGCCGGACTCATGGAAGAAGGAAATGCACCCTTTGTGACAAAGGAGTATGCCCCCCTCCCCCAGGTTAGAATTTTAGCATCAGGTCAGGAATTATTTATTTGCCCAACTGGTTCAACATTTACAGTTAACTAATTTCATTCTTCTGCTGCTCATGTGTTTTTATGATACTGTTTTGTTGAGCTGGATCCAAATGTACTTATACTTAACGTAGACCCATTAAAATCATGACCCACTGAAGCCCATCGATTTCTGAAGGTCTGCTCTGGGTCTGGGTCTGGATCCAGCCTACTGTGTCCTGCGTTTTAGCACGCTGAATTCCATGAGTGCCTTGCGCACTGCCCTGGTGAAGGCAGGTCTCAAAACGGTTTCAGTGGATAAATACACAATATCCTCAGAGCCGAACTCCCTTTTGGCTATGACAAGCCACACTCCAGGACCAGGCAAACTTCCTGAACAGTCCGTTGGGCACAGACTCTCCAATTAAACCTCCTCCTGGGCAAGTGGAGCAAATGGCAGAGTGGGAAGGATGTAGATATTACTAGATCTGTCGCTCGCACACTCGTCTCGGAATGCTCTGCTCTTTGTGTGTGAATCAGTGCTAGTTGTGTTGCTTGAGCCTTGTGTCAGTTCAGCTGGCTTCTCCTAGGAACCATGGCTTGGGGAGCAAGCTGACCCCTCCCCAGTACTACAGTTCCCAGGGTGCCCTGGGGAAGGAGGGGTGTGGCTGTTGACCCAGCTGAAGTCTGCAGTGCAGATGCCCTCCCCTTCTGGAGGGCATGCTGCCCTACCAAGAACTTTGTCTTCTGGATCTCCAGCTCGTTCCAAAACTCGGAGCCCCCTTCCTCAGGCTGCTGCTTCTCCCGCTGCGACACCTTCTTCTGCTTGGCTGGCGGCTCCGGCTCGTCCTGCCGGGGCGCTTCCTCCTTCTTTTCTCCCTCCTCCTTTGCTGCCTTCTCCCCATTTTCAGCACTGCAAGTGGTAAGGGGCAGAGAAATCGTGAGCCATCGCCCCCCGCCTCTCAGCCCAGGCCCTTCTCCCTGCCTGCTTCCTTAAGAGGAGGCAACCAGAGAGAGGATCACTCTGCATCCTCCCCACACAGGACAGCAGGTTGGTTCTCTTTTAGGCCCCTGGCAAAACATGCTTAGGTCTCTCAGGTATCCATATTTTAGGCATTTTACAATCCTGCAGATTGCTGCAATTTATATGACTTCTTTCTTTTTTATCCTTTGTTTTAATGGTAATTTGTAAACTGTGCTAGAACCAGGCCCAGAGAAAGGTCCTATCAGACAGAGATAAAGAAAAGGGGCAGCTGTGATGCTGGGTCAGCTTAAGAAGCCTCAAGGGGTCTCATTCCCCATCCCAGCTGCAGGAGAAGAAACCCTTGATATCATGAGAAGCCTGGTTCAAATCCACCTTCTCCCCTAATTGTCTAAGGTAAGGGAGGAAGTCCTATGTAAATTCCACTTCCTGCAGGAAGTACCCATATTCTGCACCCCATACAAATTACGAAAATATGCCTGTTTTCTCTCTTACTTTGCACATTTATTTCTGAATTTTGCTATCTTTGCCTCCCAATAACTGGAATCCTATTCAGCACCCCAGCTCAGATCACTCCAGGCATAAGGGCTAGAAACTTGTTGCTTCACAAGCATATAGATAAAAGGTGAGATGCTCAGGAAAGAGGATTCTGTGGCTAGTACCACGTCTTGTGGCTTTTCTGTGCTCTTGTGGAATTGTGGCATGCGCTCAAGAACACTACAAACCAACCTTGTGTGTGCTCTGTCTCTTTCCTTCTGACGTGTTCGGCATGTAACAGCAGGAAGTCCTGGTTAATCAACCCAGGAATTGCTGCAGCACACTCTGGACATGTTCCATGGCTGTTTTGCGTATTCAGCCTTTGACCAAGCTGATCAGAGGTTGCTACATGATGTCTGAACCAAGTCACTATACGTTAATCATAGTTTTAAAAATGCACAGATCTATCTATCTATCTATCTATCTATCTATCTATCTATCTATCTATCTATCTATGTACAAGATTTACATAACACTCCATATTCCAGTAGGAAGGTTTTGAAGTGCCAAACAACAAAAGATAAAACAAAGAAACAAATAAAACAATGTCTTTAAAACAAGACCAATGAAAACATAGTAATAAAACTGTAGCTCTGAAAGACGTTTTGAAAAAACAACACAATGTTGGAACCTATAATCAGTTGTGAGGTCATGGAACATACACAACATATGTTGCAACAAACTGTGAGTTAATTTACTCACTGTATGCCAGTGTTATGCCTAAATGCCACCCCCCACCCCCCCAAAGCATTCCACTCACTCTACTTTCTCTGCTTCCACGGAAGGCTCCTCCACCTTCTCAGGTTCGGGCTCCTCCTCCTGCCCTTCTACCTAGAAAGTGACAAGAATATGGACAAATAATTAAAGTGTGGGTAGCAGACACCGGTGGCAAACTGAGCCGTCAGCTGCTTTGGGGAGGTGCCGTCAGCGAGGGCACCGGAGCAGCGGGAAGAGTGCCTGTTCACAGCACCGCTTCCCTCGCTGGCTGCACGTGGCCCCAAAGGCAGAGACCGGCTGGTTCCATTTCACACTCAGGAAAGCACCTCCGCGTGAAATACTGTGGAACTACAGCACTGATGTCGGCTGCCCTGCCATGATGCCAAGAGGAGAAGCCGCCACTGCTGCCCCCACAAGTGCTCCCTGCTGGGCCGGCTGGGCAGCAGGGGGCAAAGGGTGCAGACGCTGGGCCAAGCACGTGGCCCGGGGCCTCCTCAGAAGACTCCTGGCCTTCCCCTTCCACCCCCAGAGCAGAGGGCCGGGGGGGCGGCAGCCTGCTCTGGAGGCAGAAGGCCCCAGGTGCCTCCTCGGCTTCTCCAGGGAGGCTGGAAAAGAATCTTGTCCAAAACTTTACTGAGTTGCTGCCCATCTGTGGCACATACAGGGCTGGATACGCCAACATTCTGGCTCGATACAAGGCAATTTCCTAGGTTCCAATTCTTTAGGGCTCCTTTTTTCCTACAAAAACTGGGGCACAAACCCAAAGATCCTGGTTTTCTGCACCTTCATCCAGCTGTAGATTCAGCTTCCCCAAAACGTTCTTGCTTCCCACCCTCTGCAGTCTCTGTCCACACTGGGCCTTGTCCCTACTTGGCAGATCCCAAGAATTCCAGCCTCTATGCAGCTAGATACCCCTCAAGTCCGAAACATACTGTCAGTTTTCTTTTGAGGATGGGTGATCCCTCAGGGGTAGGAGGTTCCACTGGAGTTGTGTCCCCCATATCTCCAAGCCCACCAGGTGCGTCAGGTGCGAAGGATCGGAAGTGCTCTTTCTTCAGGTCGAAGACGTCCCCAACTTCAGCAGGTGTTTCCTCCTTGCCAGGTTCCACTATTTCCACTTCTTCCCCTTCCTCCGCCACCTGTTCTACCTCCTCTGAGGGGGCCACATCTCCATGCACCTCATCCTGAGTTGGGTCAGGCATGCTGGCCAGCAGTTCAGTGACCGTCATCTTTTTGGCCTCCTCCACCAGGCCACCCCCAAAGAGCGTGTTCCAAATGAGAAGGAAGATGCCCTTGAAGACGTTATAGAAGAAGAAGAGGATGCCCATCAAAATGGTGTAAACAAAGGTGGCCACGGCCATGGCCATCTCCTTGATGGTCATCTTCTTGATTTTGCGGAACTGCCGGCGGACGTTGCGGTAAGTGAACAGGCGGAAGAAGTTCAGGACACTTTCCACAAACTCCCCAAAGACCGAGGATGACTCTGACGGTGCTGTTGCCTTCTCAGCTTCCCCACCTTCTGTCCCTTCTCCTTCCTCCTCCTCTTCTTCCTCCCCCTGCCCCTCTTCCTCCGAAATCTGTGCTGCAATCTGCATCTCAAAGATGGTGTCCTCACAGAAGTTGATGAAGAGCTCCATTTTTTCTGACTCGCCCCCCTCATTGACCACATCAAAGATGAACTGCCGCTTGGACTCCTTGACCTGGGGCATCTCCCACTGGGCCTTGTTGGTCTCACTGATCTCAAAGTAGATGCGCTCAATGCGTTTGCTGGCGCCCATGATCTCGATACGGCCCAAGTACGGACTGAAGTAGTTGAGGATGCATTCTGCCAGCTCCAGGAAGGTCTTGAGCCGGTTGTCGTGAGGCATGTGCTCGGAGAGGTTGGTCAGCAGCACAGCGATGTTGAAGCCGATGTCTTTGGCAGGCTCCTGGAAACGGCTGGCAAACTCCTCGTAGTCTATCATCTCATTCTCATCGGCTTCAGAGCAAGAGAGCAAGAACTGGATCTCAGATGGTGTGTATTGCTTCTGGCTGTCCATGGCCTTCTGGAAATCCTTCTTGGAGATGAGGCCCCGTGGGTCTGTAATGTAATCTCGGAAGGCATCTGAGGCTACAATGTCCTTCAGCTTCAAGAACATATCAAAGAACTTGAGAATCATCTCCACGTTACTGGAAGATTCCACCAACATATCCACCATCTGCCGAGCAATGGTACCATTAACCACGTTTCCTGAGCAGATACAGAGGAGATAAAGGCGACAAGTTAGGAAAGCGAATAAGCAGAGAAGAAATATGTATGAGAAAGAATGAAGAGCTACTCATTCATAAGTGGGAAATGGATACAGGCAACTGGGTGAACAAACAGAACTGGGATAGCAGAAGATCAACAGCAACTTTTTCATGGCTCTTCTAAGGTCTGGATGGAGCACTGGCTTTTCCCTCTTTGCTCTTGCACAGTAAAAGACCAAACTCAGCAACAAAAGAAACAAGCAAAATTAGAATACTGGCTGTTAAGGAAATGCCACTTAATGATGAATGTCGACTTTCAAACAGAACAGCCCTCCACCCTTCCAAAACTGAAAAGAAGCAAACCACACCTTCGAGTCACATCCTTCTGATCTTCTGTTATCCACACCTGCAAGTCACATCCTGAAGTGCCAGCTGCCTGGAGAGTCTGACCTTTCCCAACTGGTCCACCTTCTTACCCTGACACTGTTTCCTCAGATGAAAGATTTTAGGTCCTTCCCCACCCTGCCGCCCACAGCATTAATACGTTCACTGAACTTTCTCAAAGAACATGAAACTCTGATTCTTAGCAACTGCCTGGCTTATTTCTGGGCCTTGTGGCCTTGGCATCACAGCTGTGGATTCTGGCCCTACCTCTTTGACTCAGAATCTTATCCCACAACTTTTTATAGGAGAAGTGGGCCCAATCCCTAAGGATCATACAAACAAACCAGACAGCAACATTACAACTGAGCAGGCAGCATTCAACAAGCGGGGTTTAGTGACCTCTTTAAGGCAAAACAAACACAGAGCCAATCTTATATCACTTGGAAGGACGTTCTGCAACAGGGGTACATCCGTCGAAGAGACCCTGTCCCCAGCAACCTACATTTTCTTTAAGATGTTCAACGGGACTTCTGGCTGAGACACAACCTCGATCCAAACTAATCCAACAAATAAATATGCAGGGCATCAGGTTGGAAACAGGCTGATTTACTAGGATTCCCCTCGAAGAAGTTCTCAGAGAGCAGTTCAGTCCTTAGCCCTGACCGAGGCCCGTGAGCCTGGAGAGTCCAGGGGCTGAGCCCAAGAGCTTGCCGTGCCCGCAGCCACTGGCTGTGGCTCTGCCTTGGGAAGCCAGTGTGGCGCACGCAGCCAAGGGCCACCTGGGTGCCGCACAGCTCTCACCTTCCAGCAAGGACAGCAGCATCACCACCATGTCCTTCTGCAGATCCAGCAGTTCTTTCAGGAGCCCGATTTGGCTGGAATCCTAGAAGCCACAGGGAAGCACAACCGACTGAGTACGATGGAACGAAACCCCCCTTTCCCCCCTCCTTCCCTGGGAATTTCTCCCAGGCCTACATGCACAGCTCCCCGTCTTGCTCACACTCCTCACCCGTCAGTGTGTCAAATGCCTCTCATTACCCCGCCACACGAGCAGGCTTCAGCCAGGCAGGGGACGCCAAGCCATACGTAGGTGTGGGAGAGCCAGTGTGTAACTCCACAGAGACCAGGGGACAGCTCTCAGCTTGGGGGGGGGGGTTGGCACAGCCTTCAACCCCCCAGCAGTGACCCCCAAGATGGTGCAGCGCCTGTGTCTGTGCCCAGGCTGGAGGCATGAGCATCTGAGGCCAGGTTAGGGCGATCCATTCTGCAAGCTATGGAAAGACGCTATCACTGCAACATGGGGGGGGGGAGCCACCCTCCCACATTGTGAGGGGGCCGTGCCGCCTCTCCTCTGGCCTTGTATCCACTTTGGGGGAAAGCTCTTTCACTGAAGAGTTATCCCAAGTCTTTGGGACTGCCAAAGGCGGGCGTTTTCCTCTCTGGAGAGGAGGAACCCAATCTTACCTCAGGGTAGGATTCACTCCGAAAATGCTCCTCATGGGCAGCGCAACAAAGAAATGATTTTGGTGAGGGGAGGAAGTATCCCTATGCGCGTCCCTCTCCACAGCTGCATCCCATGCTCTAATCTCGTTCCCGTCCTGGTCTCACCTCCTTGTGCATTGAGAAGAAAGGGCTGGAGTTCACCCCCACCCTCCACGTCTGCTCCTTTCTCGGGCAACTAACATCCGGAGCACATCCATGACACAGGCTCAGACTCAATAAGCGCATTCCTATCCTGGTTTGACACAAAGGACCTTGGCAACTGTTGTCGGGTGAGGATCATGACCCCCTCGAGAGAACTACAGTTCCCAGGGTTCCTTGGGAGAGGGAAGGACCACGAACCCGTTTAAGTGTGGACGGTAGCAACCCCTGTGACAACCGTCAGTGCAAGAAGCAGCAGCCCTGGTTTTGTCTTGGAGACCAGAATGTTGAAAAGGAACTTGTCCGCTTTAACTAACCCCCAACTGGCATAAAAGCATAATGGAACAACCTCTCTCAGCCCTGTGTGTATCTGCAGATCCCCCCCCTCACCCCCAATGTTTGCGGCGTGACATACTTGGCTAGGATGGGGCGTGAGCCAGCAAGCCAAAGCAACAGCTAAGCTTGGGGCCTTTGACAACACCCTTAACACTGGTGGTTGGAATGCATGGGGGCGAGGGAGGGACATGGAAAGCAAAAGGAACAGGAAAGGAGGAAGTTGGGGGACAGCGCCAGCCACGCAGGCCCAGAGAGGAAGCAGACCAGACCAACCACAGAATCCCTCTTTGCCAGCAGCTCTGGGAAAAGCTTCTCCGTCGTCCCTCGATCCTCCCGCAAACAGGGGTTTAGGGCACTGGGGGTGTAGAAGCAAGGTTTTCTGAACAGAAACAGTGAGCAGAAACAGTGCCAAATTCGGTGAGGGGATTTTGAGGGATAATCCCAGTGGAAGAGAAAAGGGAACACTTTGCAGGAATAGCTCTTGTTATCCCAAGGCTAACATGGCAAGTTAAAGTGACCGTGATATTTGAGGTATGGTCTGGGAATTAAGATGATAAGGTATTCCTTTAAGCTTTCCCTATAAATGTTTGTGCCTAGTTTTTGGGTGAATCCATATTCTTTCAAGCATGTAGAAAAGGAAAAAGTCTTGAGTTGCATACCAACTCTGTGTGTTGGGTCTCCCAGGCTTACAGGGGCCAGAAGTCTCAAAGTAGGGACTTAGGTAGTGAAATCAGGTGGAAACAATTTGGAGTGTACATTTCTGTTAAATCCATCCTTCTGAGTTTCCTGGATTGTCAGATATCTTTAATCCTATCACCTGCCCATTGACAAAATCTGGCTTTTTGTAGGAAAATGTCATTCTACTTGTGCTGATTCCTATGTGCACATGGGCAAATGCACTGATCCACATTAACTAATGCACATTAGCACCAATCTGTATTAATGTCAATTTGCACAAATATCCCTCAAAATTAAAAAAAGATGTGCACATCCCCTCAAAATCTGTTTTTAACACTTTAACCTACAGAGAAAAATGCACATTTTTGGTCAGTAGGGTCTTTTTCTTTGCAGTTTTGTACAACTACATTTGTGTATAGTTCCAGAAAAGTTAAAAAAAATAGCCTGCAACGTTGGAATCCATGCAACTTGGAAAAAACTGGTCTGCTGCAGAATCCATGAGCCGGATTCATAGCAATTCTAACTCATTTGGATTCCTCTGGCATCTCTAGTTATTTTATTTATTTTCATTTTTATGCTGCCCAATAGCCAAAAGGCTCACAATGCAGAAACTTGCTCAAAGGGGCAGCCAGCCTGCCCTTGCTGTGCTCCAGAGTCATTGCTGCAGGTGCCCACAAGCTAACAGTACAGCCAGCAGCCTGGAAGACACTGGGGGACCGGAGCAGCCAGAAAAATGCTTATCTAGTTCAAGGCGGCTTGATGCCTCTGGCCTGAGCAATTAACTGGCAGTTCCAACAAATTCAAGATATGCCTGAACTTCTCTTGCTCTCCAAAGCATCATTTGGCTTTCCTAGACATGCAACAGTAGCTTCAAAGAGAGATGTAAAAAGGAGATGATGCAGCTGCAGTCAATGGTAATCTGAAAACCCTCCAGTCCGCTCCCAGGCACAGCTTCAGACAGAATGCTGAATTCTGGGGTGGCTCACCAAGGTTGTGTTTAGACCAGAATTCTGCAGGTGCACCAGAATTCTGCAGTCTTAAAATAAACTTTCAAGTCCACATAGCTACAAAGATATTAAGGAAAGAGCCTTCCACGGGGGCATATGCTAATAAGACTTTTAGTGATCGTATAATGGAGGCAGATCTCAGGGACAGATTTCACTTTCCCACTTATCTTCTTGCCCATCTTCCCCAAGACCAGCAAAACTGTGCAGAGTAACTTACTTGAAAAATGCAAAAATGCATCAATTTTGTTAGACACAGTTATGAAAAGCTGTCCAATGCACAGACTTTCTCCAGATTGCAAAAATCTTGCTTTCCTCATCAGTGCAGAATTTTAAGTTTGCTTCACATGACATACAGGCAGTCTTGTGCTGTATTCATCCCCTAGTCATACATGCAAGGGAAGGAGACTCTGAATGCATCTAAGTAGTTTATCTGACAGCAGGAGGGAGGGGTGAGGCTAGATCGCAATTCAGCCCCAAAGGCTGAAGTACACGGATGTTTTTTTGGGGCAGGGGGGTTGTTAAATTGGTCTGGTCTGATGAAAGAATAGAGTAAAGGAACTCAGTGAGGAAGGGAAAGAGAAGAGCAATGTATGTGGGAGGAGAAAAGAAAAAGCGAAGGAAAATTAAAAGAGGAGGGAGGGAGGGAGGGAGCAGCCAGTGCGCTGGCGTGAGATGGCCCATGTACTACATAAAAGGTTCTTACGCCATTTCGAAGTCCTGGGGGTTGGGTCATCTGTCACACATCAGAATAAAAATGTTATTCAGAAACATTTTTAAGAACATTTTTGTATTTTGCCAGGTTTACCATCCGGCATGTTCCTTTATTGCTTCGGCTTGGATTAGATGCCCTCCTTCTTCGGGGAAAACGGGTGTGCAAGTGACAAGTGAGGAATGACTGGGCAGGAAAGCCATGTTTGCATTTACTTGAGTTCTTCCAGGGGAAGAATCCGCCACGTGAAGGGCAGAAAAATCAGGGGACTTGCCGAGGTTCCGCTGGTCACAACTTTCCACTAGCCAGAAGCTCTGCACCCTGGAGGGGGGCCCCACCGATCCCGTTTCTTACATTCTTCCACCTCACTCACTACAGGCAAGCCTTCAATTCCCAGCCTCCTCCTCCCTATGCTCAAAAAGTAGGACCCGGGTCTTTATTTTCACCGAAATGGAAAGAGGCCTTCTCGGCGCAACAGAGGCACTGCCTATGGACCCGATTCCGCCTCGCTGCCCTTCCCGTCTCCTCCTGTCCTCGCCGCTGCTGGTGGTTTGGGCCACAGAGGGCTGCTCAGCTGGGCCACTGGCCGCATGAAGAGTTTGCGTGGCAACCGGTCTTTCCAGCCACGGGACACGCCTTCAGCCGGCCATGCGGGTCCCACCCGTGAACAGCTGTGTCCCCCCCCCACCTCCTTTCTCCTGCTCTTCCTTTCTTTGAAACTCAGAACGACGTCAGCTGAGGAGACAGCGGTACAATCCAGCTGAGATCAGGATACTACCACGCAAGGGTGGCCCCCTTGCAGCCTGTCTGCTGAATCTGTGATGCTTCAGCAGGGGGCACCTATTTTTACCTGTGTCTTCTTCCCTCAGAAATGCCCAGAGGACCGGACCGGCCTCTGAGGGAGCATCCAAACTGTCCCCAAATGATCTCAGCGGCTTTCTGGGTAGAAGGGAGGCATTTGAAGCCGGGCAGCAGCAGGTCAGGGCATAAAGGAAGGCCAGATGGTCAAATACAAAAATGGTCCTTCTGGGAAGGAAGGCCTAATGCTGTTACTGAGGGTGGGAGTTGGCGCTGGGGTGGGAAGACACAGAGCAGGCGCGCCTGGGGCGGGTTAGCGCAGCACCAAAGGGAGCCCACCCTGCACGCAACCCCCCATCCCCTCCTTCCCAGGCGCCTCCCTTGCGCTTCTGGGCAGCTTCCCTCCCTCCCTCCCTCCCTGGGGCATTATGCTGCAGGAAGAAGCCCCCCGCCCCCATCCTAAAGACCAAGTCATTACAAGTCAGAGCCTGCATGTCAAACTGGCAGAGACACCGGTAGAACCATTTGTGGTTAACTGTTGGCTGCCTAAGATTTTTCGGGGTTTGCCTGCAGAGGCAAAATAAAAAGTAAAAATAGAAATTGCCTGTATAGGAAGCTGTGCTATGGAGCCATTTGGTTTCCTACTTTTGGCAGGACACCCCCAACCGTGGGTTACTCTGTTGTCCCTGTTCAGCTTCCAGATTCAAGAGTCTAGCTATAAAATATGCAAAGATCTAGCTTTGTGCACTCTAGTTTGGAGGTGAGCAAGTTGACAAAGTGTGACTATTGCTTTGATAAGATGGGTGCCAAAAGTACAGTACTGGATCCAAGAACTATGAGTTTTTGCTACGGGCCTGTATTTTGACTCCCAAATTCTTTTGCTGTAGCTTGACTTTCATGTTCAACAGTTTGGCCACATGATGTGCAGAATCATGTTCTTTCCCACTTCGCAGCTGGTGGATGCCTGGGCTGTGGCACTTTAGGGCAGCGAACCACACAAGACTGCGTCACAGTAGTAAACGTGGTATTGCTTTTTGAATGCACACAAGGTCCACGTTCCCTGTTTCTGCCAGTGCTCATGTTAGGCCTGAAGAAAGACTTCTGAGACATTCCCTACCCTTTTCTACTTCATTTCTGCCTTTGTTTTTACCTGAGCCAGCTTCATCATCATGTGGGCAAAGACGTGGAGGAAGCCGATGACGGCGTCCCACAGCCGGCTGTGCGCTAAGCTTTGCTGGTTCCCAGTGCATGGCCCCTGGTGCAGAAGAACAAAAAACCAGGGTGAGTGGCTGCGTACCAGTTGTGCACAGCAGGCTGGGAGAGGATTGTATGAGTGTGTGGGGCAGGGGGGGGGAGCTCTGGAGGAATTGTTGCCCTCCTGACACCAAGTTCCGTACTGCATTAAGTACCCAGTGAACCAGAGGGGCCAGGTGTTCTGATAGAACAACGGCTGGAGTGAAGAGAGGGGCCCATTGCATACCTGGATGTACTCAGTGAGGCTGTTGAAGACCTGCTTGGCCACGGCCATGGCTTTGGAGAAGTTGCGCTTACCCTGATCATCAATCACATCCTTGCCGGAGTAATACCAGTAGAAATCACTGATAGATTCCTGGGTGTTTGAAAGAGAGGGAAGAAATCAAAAGCTGACTTGACCTGCCCCATTTCAGGATCCTCCAAACAATGCCATCTGCAGCCAGAGTGCATGCACATGTATTTAGTACATTTCTACAGGGGTCAACAGCCAAAGCGCTCTGGGAAATTCACAATGAAGGCCTGCAAATACAGTGTCATTAAGCACAATGCCACACTTTTAGAACTTCAGTTTAAAACCAGAGTTTAAAAAGCACTAGTGTAAGGAGATAAAAAATATGAAGATGCTAACCTCAGATATAGCATGCAACCTATCAGTCTTGACTCTCAGTCCCTCCTATTTTATGATGTAGGCTTTGAGTTTGAGTTTTGGCCTAGACAGGCCTAGTGGTTGGTTACCAGCTGCACCCCAAGGAGCAGAGAAATGGTACGTGTTAACTCTTGCTGTATGGTTGTCACCTTCCGTTTTCAAATATTCTGATGCCGAGGGCAGAGTGCCTCTGATCACAAGGAAAATGCTATTTCCTTGAGGATGCCTAAGGGAATGGGCAAAGTGCACCCGCCTTGTGGTGGACTTGGAGTTCCGCGTCAAAAGCAGACTACAGAGGAACCCCGTGATGCAGTTCTGTTCTCCGGTGGCTGCCACAGCTCAGGTGGGCGAAGCACAGCTCTTGCTGGGCTTTGTGAAGCTTTGCTAGACCTGCTCTGCCTGGGCAAGCCCGACCTACCTGGGATGTAAGAGCTCTCACCTGAAGACGCAGGAGGTAGTCGACGGTGCAGATGATTATATTGATGGTGTTTGTGTTGCCGGTCTGTGTCCGCAGGTAGTTCTGGAAATCTGAGGTAACAGGCAGCTGTGTGAGGATGGGGAACCGTTGCCTGGGACTGTTAAGGGGGGTGGGTGAGAGCAACTGTCCTGAGGTCACACAGTGAGCGAGATTCATGACTGTGGAGGGATTTCCACACCGGGAGCTTAAGCCTAACCCCAAAGACCTAATCCTTTCTTTCCCATCATGCTGCTTTCCAGATGGTCTTGGACTAAGCTCCCATCATCCCCAAAACATGCATCTGAAGGCTTAGGCTTAAGCCACTGGGGGCCTGGGGGCCTTCTAGCCCCTGTGGAGTTGAGAACACAGTAAATTGGGCAACCACAATGATTGCGGCCTTTCGTGTCCAGCCACGGACCTACTTTCCACGACTTACAACCATCCACCTGCCATTCCATTAAGCATCTGTTCTGTCATTTCCATCTCCCTCTGCCAGCTGCCTCCAGGCCCTCTGGCCCCCCGTTCTGCTCCCACGTGCGAAGCCTACCATTGTTGTGTCCTTCACAAAGGAGCTGCAGGAACCGGAAGAGGTCCTGTGTAAACAAATCGTCCGCCATCACCTTTTCTCCTAGAGCAGGAAAGGGGACAAGGGAAGAGACAGAACTGACCAACATTAGCAGGCACAACAGAGGGAGAAGGAAAGACGGGAAGTGGGGTGGGGGCACAGGGCAAGGGGGGATGTGCAGTTAGTACCAAACCGGGATGCTCCGACGCTGGGCATTTGCGGGGAAATGGGTTTGAGTAGGCACTTCACACTGCAAAAAAGCTGCACACAGATCCAGGGGCGATCTTGCAGGCCTTGCTCAGGACTAAGCTCTCACTGAGGTTTCTAAATTTGGAGGGACTGTGTGTGAAAGAAGGGCCGCTAGAGCTTGGCTATGTGGTTTCAAGGGATATTCGGTTGAATAAAAGCAAAGTAAGAACTGACCTCCACATTACACAGGGTGAGCTGGGGAACTGGGCTGGCAGAATTCTAGGCTTACCACCAGAAGTGGGGGGTGAATGATCCTATGCACAAAACAGTGTACAGCTCCATGCATGCAGAAAACTAGCAGACCAAAGAGAACGGTTTGCTGTAACCCCCTTTTTGAAATGCAGGGAGGCTCTTCACATGGCAGAGCGTTCAGAACAATGATATGGGCCATTAGAAGGGCAACAGATCCAGAATTCTGCTGCCCTTTCTGTCTAATGTACCAGTCGGCTCTTCGGCACAATTTCCAGGGGCATGAATGAACAGAATAGGTCAAAAACATTTATAGCAGTTGTTTTAAAACTATAATCCATAACCTACTAGCAGGGCTTGCTACTGATGCGAATACCAGGAGAAAGCTGAAAAGTTAAGAGTTTATTTGAAGTTTCAAGCATATGCAGGAGAGACAACTCATTTCTCCTAAATATAAAACAGAAAAGTAGCTTATTTCTACAGTAGTGCAAGCCACCTGGGGGAAATCTTAAATCTTGACTGCTTGTAACAGTTATCTCCTTGGGCACACAGGTATAGCTTTGCTGGAACATGGGCATGGAAAATAAATGAAGTAGCTCACTTTTTGGACAAAAGCCTCAGCCATGATATTAAAAAATGGGAATAGTGGGTCTACAGTGGACTAGCAAATTAAGTTAAAGGTCCTCGAGCAGGAAGGGTCTGCTGGCTGGCTGTGATCCTGATTGTTGTTTTCAGAGCAAAAGAGGGACTAGCCCAGAGAAAAGGTCCAAATATGAAGAGAGAGCAAGAGCCAGAGGAAGGACTGCAGCGGTTGAGCCAGGGTTAGTAAGAACGTGGTGCCATGCATTTGGTTAAGGGACGCTGTGGCGCCTGTGTGGGAAAGGTATGGCTGAGTCCAGAATATTGTCTGATAGCAGAAAGGTTTACAGGCCATTTGTAACATTCCAGTCCACTCCCATAAAGGTTTGCTGTCAACAGGTTTGGCCCCTCGCAAAACTTCTGCACAGTGAATGGTGGATCGACGTGGTGAGCGGAGACAAAAGGATGCTGAGATGGGAAGGATGTGTTAGGAAGAGTTCGATTAAGCACTATGCATGTTGATGACTGCTTTACTCTCATTTGCATTGTTGTTTTTTAAATGGTGAGTCCGAGGACAAATTCTGCAGTTTAATTCAGAGGAAGCCCCGTCTGGGGATAATGGACATCTGACATGGATAAAATAGAGGTGCAACATAAATAAAGACTTGGCATGTTACAAAGGTCTAACCAATTCCAAGGAAATGGGTCAGAGTAATGTAAAAGGAGTAGAAGGGTAAAGATAAGAGCTCGGAGGGTAAAACTGGACTAAAGTGAGTATAAGATGCTCAGCGAATGACCCTGTTCCTGAAGGTTAATAGAATTAGTTGCAGGAGGCCATTCGTTGACGAGGTCACACCGTCTGTTCTACGGCATTGGTCATTAATGAAGATATGAATCCAGTGCTGCGGGAAGGGCGAGACGGGCGAACGGGGCCCCCATTCACAAAAGCCCCTTCCAGGCGCCTGGGTGGATCCATACTGTACCACCTGGCATTAATGACCAGATCCTTTTCCAGTGTTCATGAAGTTGCCTCCTCCACTTCATGGAAGCAGCCATATCATCACCTGATATCTTCCCCCTCTTACTTTGACTTCCCTGTGAGTTGGGACAACCGTGGTGCTTGGGGCGTGGAAATGTGGGCGGGACAGGGACAGATGCTGCCCAAAGTCATCTCAGTAAGAATTATTTCGTCCAAGACTTACAATTTGAACAAGAGAGGCCCTAGAGCATCAAAAAAATAGCAGTGACCGGAGAAAAGCTGCTAAACAGGAAAACATAGTTACTGCGAAGATACTGCAAGGGCGACAGACTGACTGCGGAGATATTCTGACCCAAGAGCACAGAACAGGCGTGTACGAGGGCAATAAGCTACAATAAAGATACCACAGGAACAATACATAAAAGGACCGACCACAGAGCATGAAGCGAGAAGGAAGCACTCAAGGGCAGCCCAAGGCAGAAACGGCTGCTATGAGGATACGATAGAGAGAGAACGTTTGCTGTAAAGAGACTATCACGACAGGCTCAAAAGCATTAAACAAGAGCAAAACAAGCATTACTACAAGGACAGCTAAAAGTTGTGATGTCACATCAGTTACGATTAAGGGACTCCTTCAGGTCAACATCGTGCCTGAAGGAGAACTGGAGGAAGGCAGACCCCAGCGCCTTCATCAGGAGCTGGGGGTACTACGAGGGCAGAATGTCGTTTTTAGGCGTGGAGCCTTTCTACAAATATACTACAGTGTGACTACAATTCTGTAGCGTCTTACTAATGAAAACACGACCACATTCCATAAAAAATTTGCCACACAGCTGCTACGACAATGCTACGAGCTACTGCTCTAAAATACACTTTGAAATATGTTTATGAAGACACTGCATTATTACAGTGTGACTAAAGATTTGACATTCAATTGTTGTAAAGATTCGGCACATCTATCACAAAAACTATTCATGAAACAAGCAAGCAGTATTGGGACTTTTTACAGTGTCACTGTAAAGGCACTGTAAAGGCACAAGCAGTATTGGGACTTTACAGTGTCACTGTAAAGGCACCAGAATGCCCGTTCTTCCTACATAAACTGCATTTCTTGATTCAAGGAAGATGTCACAGGCTGAACGTTGTTACCAAGGAAAGCGTTAGAATTGTAGGTCTTTGCTTTGTACGCTTCTACACGACTTGGCTGCTGCCTGCTGCACTTGTATATACATATCTTACAAATACATGGAAGCAACTGTACACACCTTTTCAAAATAGGAGAAGAGCCAACACTGCTACATAGACAACTCAGGACACATTTTTATAACAAACTATTACAAAGATGCTACATCGTCACCAAGAAACTCAGTGCAACAAAACAACTACACAGTTACGCTCACACCCTGAATTGCTACCATTCCACATAGTTACTACACAGATGATACAGACGAGGTCATACGGCTGAATAACTATTTGCTGCGAAAAAGGGGAGTGGGACCTTGGCCACAAGCGGCACCGACATGTGAGTCTGCTCAGCATTGGCAGAGGATCCGCAGGCAATGCTTTTGGGGCCGGGGCAAGTGGCGTTGTGGGCAGCTCTTCTTCGGCTACACCCTTCACGATGGCTTAACGGGGCGCGGGATTAGGGAAGGGGGTGCAATTTGAAGGAGCACAGGTCGGGAGACCACGGCTGAGGCATCTGGATGGATGAAGAGTATGCGGTTAGTGAGTTTACCACTAATGGGACGTGGGGATGTGGGAATGCGTGGCTCCCAGGATGTTTCTGTAATGAAGGACATGCGCCAAATGGGGCTGAGGACACTTTCCGTGGCCACCCGCCCACTCAAGACTGATCAGAACCCCCTTCAGTCAATGTCGGGGTAGGAGGAGAGATTGCTCTGAGTATTATGGGGCATGCTTCTGGTTCAGGCCACATGTGATGCCTTGGTGGAAGGTGGTAAATCCCACAGCGGGGCAGGGTAGGCAACCCCCCTTCCTGATTTCAACGGGCCCCCAAATGGGAAGGAAAAAACAAGATAAAATCATCCTTCATAGGTTTAGCCAGCATGTGACTAGAAAACGAAGTGTTTCCTCTTTTGAAGCAAACCATTTCAGAGTTGCAGAAAACTCTCAGCTGGCCCAGGAATACAGGGAGTTCCAGTTCAGTATTTTTTCTGTCTAAACATGCATAGGATTGCAGCCTAAATCACACAGAGATACTTTTGAAATATCGTGAGCAGCAGAGGCATCTATGAAATGAACAAACAGAAGGAGTGATATACATGCCACCAGCCGAACTTTCCCTCTTGCCCGGTTAACAATGTCATTCCTTCTGCTTACTACACTTCAGGCCCCACTGGAGCCTTCAGACCGGCTCCAGCGGAGGCTTCTCGCCCGACCACCTCTTGCGCTGGGCCTGCCCCACCGATGGCTAGATATTCACTGGGGCCAGCCCTGGCTTAAGGCAATCCTCCAGAATTCCTTGCCAGTCCCGAATATCACAATCTGCCAGACTCCCATGCACTGAGACACTTGAAGAATAATATTATCGGGTGCCTCTCCAAAACTGCCAGCTTCCTGACACCAGCTGGTGCTCCAACAGACCTGCCCTTGCAGACTCTTGGCCCTCATCCTGGGCAGCCCTCGCAGCACCAAATGTGCAGAACAGCCCTTGCAGATTCCCAGATCTTAAAGGCAACCAATTTTAAGCCAGGACAGGAAAGCGGGGGTTCTGATCAGTTTTCAGTCTTAGACCCATGAGGTTAGAAACAGGAATTAAAAGAAAGAAAGAAAAAATAATAAAAACAGGCCAAGAAACTGACCATTAGAGAAAAATGATTATATTTGAAAGCAAAATGATTATTTACCATTTTCACGACTGATGACTGAGGGAGGGGCATCAGTGAGACGAGGGGGGGAGGGGAGGGGAGGGAAGAGAAGGAGGGAGGGGAGAGAGGAGGTGAGTGCAACACATCACAGCAAAGAAGGAAAAGGAGATGATTAAAAAGAACAGAAAAACCCAGCGTGTATTAAAATCACATTAATGTGAAATGGAAAAAACGGATAAGATCAGAAAACCCGAGGCAAAGGGAGTCGGGTGGGTTGGGAGGGTGAGAATCTAGTATTGGTTTTAGGAATCTCAATTAATCCATGTCTCACCAGGAGGAAGCTGTGAACACAAAGAGAAGATGTCGAGCACTGAGAAGAAGGAGTGGGGGAACTGACCCTGGGCCAGGACTGCCACCGCTGAAGTCCCAGAACGAAACCCTCTTGCACCCTCTCCAGCCCATGAGAATGCTACAGTTGCTTGGAGGGGGGACAGAAACTGGTTCCGAACCCTGCCCCACAATCTCTCAGTATAACCAGCGGGAAAGGGTTCGCCAACTGCTAAACCAGGAGCTGAAACGGGAGTGCCAATGCTCAGTCGAGGGCACTGCCTGCGGTTTCTATGGGCAAGCCCCAGTGCAATGCCAGAAGGAAATCTGGTGGCAGGACCAAGGTCTCAGCAGTCGCTGTGAGCAGCCGGCAGAGGTGACTTGCCATCGGGGCGGCAGGATTAAGGCTTGGGGTGCTGACCTGCCCTATAAGCTGCCCTATGGGGCAGGATAGGTTGGGGGGGGGGGCTAGGGCTCTGGCTGCCTTCTTTCAGCTGCTCACAGTGGGGCAGAAGGTGACTTACTCGTTCCTTCCTCCGTCACCATCCCCAGTCCTTCAGCTTTGTTTTGCCTCTCAAAGGCGTTCAGGTCCAGCACGCTGTGAATGAAGCAGAAGAGAAGGATGCGGGGAGAGAATAAAAATGAGCCGAGCCAGAGCACAGAAGAGCCAACGATGGTGGGCGGAAGCGAGGGTGGTGTTGCCACAGGGTGCTGCTTCTTCTCTGGGCCAAATGAGAACCGAGAGGCAACGGTCCACATGCCAGCCACATTCACATGCAGAGCATGTGTGCACCTGTGTGTGGGCATGAGCGCACGACACCCCGGTGTGGTTGCTGTGGACTCAACAACCCAGCAGACACACTGCTGATGCCTGCCCTAGACTCCCCCAACCTCTGTCAAATTCAGGGTTGGAAAAGCTCACACAAGCTGCGAAGGGGCCCGAGATTCCCCACCTCTGATCCAAGCCTGCCTTCCAGGCCAATAGGAGAGAAACAAGCAAGCGGTTCCCAATCTCCTGCCTAGGATAACGTGGTAAAGAAAAGGGAGAGGAGGAGCGGGAGTGTAAAAAGAAAAAGAAAAAGGGACAAGATACTACTACCTCAAATGGTGTGGAAAGGCAAGGTATAAGTCAAATTAATAATCATGCTCTGACACACCTGCACGTCTGCATTAGAGCCTGAACACTCTGGAAGAATCCAACTTCCCGTTTCTCCTTTAGATAATCCAACATTTTCTGGAGACGGAAAGAAGGTCAGCATTGGGAGATGAAGGTCAGCACTTATTTCTGACTTTTTAGTTTCTGTTAAATGCACAAATGCATCTGAGGTATATCTTTTCAAAAAACCCAGCAGCCACGAAGGAGCCTGATCTGGATCTGGTCCATGGCTTCTGTGTATCTCACCCGATGGCATCTTGGCATCCCACCTTCCTGCCTGTCCTCCAATCTGTTTTCCACCCCATTTCCCCACCCCGTCTTCATCTTTCCTATCTGACCATTATGACTCAGGCCTTTTGTTTCATCCCTATTGCCTTACACAAACACACACGACTTTCCTTGTCTACTTGCAAACCGCTCGCTCTTCACTCCTCTGTTCTGACTTCTTGTCGATTCTGAAACCTCAGTTGCGTACCTTTTAAGTTCCTTGCATCAGCCATGCTCACTAATCCCCACTTACTCTTCGGCCGAAGGAGCACAGAAGGGCAAACAAGGAATAAGAAACGAGGCAGGCACAGAGGTCAAGAGAGCAAGGGGCAAGGTACCCTACCTGCTGCACTTCCTCATTGCCACCGTTCAGGATGGAAATGCCCAGTTTCAGAGTAGAGGATACCATGGCACCCGGCTCTCCTGACAAGAGAAAAAGGTGCGTTACCACACTAGTTTTTCTCATCCCGGAGACCTGGCATGGGAGCAGAGTGTCCCTCTTCTCCACTAAGTGGCACAGGACATGTGCTTCCACGCGGGGTTTAAGAGCTATCAGAGAAGGGAACTTGATCCTGAGCCTTACAGGGCACTGCTGCTTCTGTTCCATCCCAGTACAAAGCTAAAGAATAGTCATTTGATTCTGGGTTATTCAAGTAAGAAGTAAAAGTGTAGAACTTGAAATATTTATCCAGCCTGTGTAGAATTCTGGGATGTCCAGTATTCATGGATGGGCTATTTTGGAATCTCAGATCTGACCAGGATCCTAAAAAATTCTGCTTGATTCCTTCCTTCAAGCCAAAACTAGTTTCTAGGCCTTACAACTGAAGAGAAAAGGCGCGAGGGGTAGGTCTGACCCTCCCAGAGATGACCCCAGTCAGCCTCGTCCAGGTTTTCCTGGTAAGCCACGCCAGGTCCTGCCCAGGCATCCCTCTTCCCTTCTGTACTGGGTGACGGGAGCAGAGAAGAGGCTGAGTCTGACCTTTACAGGCACTAATCATTTGAAGGACCATCTCGGCTGCACCTCGGTTGTGCAGTCGGGACTGTTGATACAGCAGTTTCTGTTTCTCCATCTCCTTCTCCTGCAAGAAAGCAAGAGAGTGTGAGGTTCAGGGCCGTGGTGGAGCTGAACCTTAAAGTGCTGAGCTTGAATCCCATGGGGGAGGCACTGGCTTCCCGCACTGCTGAGCTGGGTTGGGAGTTACAAAGAGTTCCTGCAGAAGCACCCTCAACACACGAGTTACGAGAGTTGCAGTCCAACACACGGCAGCCGCTGGCGGAAGTTTTCCCGGCTTGCTACTAAAGCTCCCTTTGAGCTGGAGATGCCAAAGGCCGATTCTGATGCAGCCAAACTGTGCTTGCCAGCTGAGAGGTGTCCCTCTCTGCTCTGGTTGGGCCCTGAAGGGCTTTGTTGGGATGGGGGAAGGGTCCTGCCAACAGGAACGGATCACAGCCAGCATTTTGAAACCCAAAGGGTCCCGATCAGGAACAGCAGCACTGTGAGCAAATACCAGGAGCAATACCAATGCCACCACGACATGCATCAATTCAACATTATGTTTCCAAAATACCTCTCTGGGGGGCATTTGATATTGCTCACGCCCTGCCAGGCCAACCAAATACACGGATTTCCCCAATCTTGGAATCATCTGGGGGCAGGAGTGGGATTCGAGTGGCATGAGACGTACCCTCTGAACCACCCAAGCTTGTGTCATTTTACTGGGGGAGGTCTGCAAGGACAGGCCAATCCATTGGGTGTAGAAAAATAGAAACTGGTGCAAATATGGAGAGAGTCTTTCTCCCTCAGCCACAGCTAAGATTGTGCATCTTTCTTTGTGGTAGAATTCTGCAGGTACTGAAAGGTAACAGAGGATGCAGATTGTGGCCATGACGAGGTTCTTGGCCAGTTCAGAAAGAAGCAGGTTTGCAGACTTGAAGGCAAGGAAGAGAAGTCTGACAATGAATCAGGAGTCAGTTTGAGAAGCTGCCGGGGGTGGGAAGGCTGTGCAGAGAGAGGCTGCTTACCTCAAAGGGGACTTCAGCCTCTTCTTCTTCCGGGCTGCCATAACCTCCTTCTTCACCTTCATTGATGTGGCAGCTCTGGGGTTCAGGGAACAAAAGAAAAACGGGGTGAGCAACAGCACGCTCACACGGAAACGCCTCCCCGTTTGACGTCGCAAGCAGCTCCCTTGTAGCACCTTTGTGCTTTGGTGCTTCACTCTAGCACGGAGTGGGCAACCTTTTTTCTGTGGTGGGCCATATTGCATCATTTGTGCTCTGTGAGGGACCAAGAGCGGGACTGGCAATGGAGCAGGGCTGAAGCAAATGGTAGGCAGGGGAAGTATTTTATTTATTTATATTGCGATTTATATCCTGCCTTTGTCCTACAAAGGGCTCAAGGCAGCTTACATCATTCTGCTCCTCCACCTTATCCCCACAACAACAACCCTGTGAGGTAGGCTGGGCTGAGAGTCTGTGACTGGCCCAAAGTCACCCAGCTGGCTCCATGGCTGAGTGGGGACTCGAACCCGGATCGCCTGAGTCCCAGTCCCACGCTCTTAACCACTACACCACACTGGCTCTCACTTCTGGAAGTAGCAGAAATGAGCAGGTCACCTCCTCTTCTGCTCCACGTTTGCTACTCTCCTTCTCTCTCTTTGTGCCACTCTTCTTTCTCTCTCCCTCTTTCTTCCCATGAAGAGAGGCTGCCGCAGAAGGGACAGACTGCTTGCTGGCAGAGGCATGAACCGTCAGCTTGCAGGGGGCTTTTGAAATTGAACTGAGGATCCGATGAAAGGTTTGCTCCCCCTTGCTCTAGAGTTAATTCTAGGTTCAGGAAACCAGAGGCATTCCGGCTGACTGCCCTCTTAGAGAGACAGACAGAACCCCTGACCCACACCTGTTCACGAGGGAGTGGATTAGAGCCATCTCGGAGTCACAGGTTGGTCTTAAAGGTGAAGAAATCTCTCTGTTCCCCCTGCTTTTCCATTTCCAATCCTAGACAATAGGAGGAGAATGGATACGGAGCAAGGAAAACACGTCTGTGCTGCAAATATGGAACTGGTGGTCCCATCGTCGTGCCTCTTCCATGAACTGCAGACATTAAACCAGCGTTACAAGGTTTTAGGTAATGGTTTGGGCTGCTACCTTTCTCCATTGACTCTGCTCCTGTGCTTTTAACAGCAGCATGGACACAGTTCTCCCTGACTAAAGTGGGAAAGTTTTGCCTTTGCCCCCATATAATCTCCTGAGTTTCTGACTGCTGCATAAGCAGACAGGAGCAAAGGGGATAAAGGGCTGACGCACTCTAGCTCTGGAAAGCACAATGTGCTTTAGCCTTCAGCTCCCATCAGCAATCACCAGCATGGCAACTAGCGAGAACTGATGGAATCATAGAGCAAAACATCTGGAGACCTGCAAACCACTCGCTGCAGCTGCAGCTCCAGCCGGTATGGATGCAGCCTGCACCGCACGGGCTCCAGTCTTGCTTCTAGGACTGACTGCATGCCAGCGAGCAATTGGATTGAAACAGTCGTCTGGGCCCATCATTTACTCACCTTTGCCATGATGTCAGCATATGCCATGTAGAGATAGTCTTCTTCCAATTTTCTGGAACAAAGCGGACAAGGCTCAGGACCTGGCTGACCTTTCACACCAGAGAATTATTCGGCGGGTTCTGTCCAGCCTCTCATTTACAAAGACAACAGTAAGCACGCCCAGCACAGTTGGCTCGGGAATTAGGGGAACTGTAGTCCAATCCATCCAGAGGGTACAAGGTTGGAGAAAGCTGCTCTGGCCCTCCCTGACCTTTGCCTGTGAAGTGCAGTCATGTGGCAGGAGTGGCCGTGGTTGGGTCTCAGTGCTTTTGTTTGACAAATGAATCGCACCAGGCCTTGCTGAACCGGGATGCTTGCGGCTGCTCCGCTAAGCAATAGCAGAGATGGGACGGGGAAAGTCAGAGGAAGCAACTGCACACAGTAGAGTTAATTGGGAGAGGTGCTCAGGTTTTGCTCGCCTCTCCCACTGACTCAGCTTGATATTAAAAGGAGCCTCTCCCACCCACCACATTTTACATGCAAACAGATCACTGTGAGCTGATGAAACGCAGCTGGATCTACTTGAGCCTTGGATCCCACAGGCTCGGTGGGCAAGGAGGGGACCTGAATAGGCCACCGCACGTTGACTGAACACACACACTTCTAACGTGACCCAAGTGCTCAGGGTCCCATGCTCAGAATGCCACGGCTTCAATTCCACCCGGCTGCTCGCAACTCACGTCTTCTCCGTCAGTGCTGTCCTGCTGAAATGCAAGATGAGTTGGTGCAGGGGGTCTGGCTTCTTTTCTGCCTCTTCCTCCTCCTCCTCCTCCTCCTCTCCTGGTTTCTGCAACCCATTCCCCATGCAGGAAAAAAGGCAGTGTATTGTTAGAAGTAAGCTAAGACCAGCTCTGAAAATGTGGCAGATTTTCAAAAGGAGATCCCCAGGGCAAGGTTTCCTTATCCGGGGATGTGAACTAGGAATTCTGCTAGTCAATGTTATGCACGTCTACCCAGAAGGAGGCCCTGCTGAGTTTGGTGGGGCTTATCCCTAGGTCAGTGTAAGTCCTAGGAAATCTTCCTACAGAGAGATCAGAGCATTACCAAACATGTAGTGTGACTTTCCCACATTTAACAGCCATTATATGGGTTAAAGGAACAACTATAACATACATCTAACAGGGTAACCCACCCAGGGAGCTTATGGCTAATGGGACAGGCTCGAGCCGAACCGATAATCTCTGCTGTGGAAGAGCCCTACAGCAGGTTGATTGTTGTTTTAAGGTGAAAAAACATGGATTGGCCCCTTTTGGTCCGACTAGAAGCCCGAGCACCTGTCGTGGCTTTGCTGGGCACAGGCATAGCCCGTGGGAGAACCCCTCACCTGGCCCCTCAGCAAGAGAGGCTTGGTTTGCTTTACACCTTCTCTCCGTGGATGCAGAGGAGGAACAGAAAGCAAGGGGATTCCTGTAGTTATCCCCAGCTGCCGACTGGAGAGAAGAGCAGCAGCCCTTCTCGCCACTAGCCTCCGGAGACTGGGACGTGGGAAGGAAGCCCAGGCCCTCGGGAGCTGCACAGGGAGCCTCCGCAGGCTGCAGCAGGCTCAGAGCAGGTCCCCCATCCCTGCTCTGTGGTCCATTCCACCCAACGGCAACCCCTCTGACTCTCGTTCTCCCTCCCAGCCAGTCTTCGCCAGTGGGTTCTTCTCGGCACTTTTACCATTGAGGTGACCTCCCACCCCCACCTTCGTTGCCAATGCGCCGGACACAGAGGTTCAGCAGAGATAGGCCGGTCGTGAACAATGCCGATCTCTGCACCTACAGAGCTTTGGCCAGTGGAAGGATTCGGCTTGGTAGTGGCCGTGCAAGCAACGCATCACTTTGCTCTTATGCCTGCTCTGTTCCTAGGACTCACAGACAGATCATCGATCATCCTGTCTTCAAAGGGGTGCTCTTCAGTGAGGATCCACAACAGCTTGTAGCTCTCTAGGAACATGTTGCAAGCCCGGTGCCTGGAAAGCAAGGGGCAGATCAGCAGCTGGCCCCTTCACGTCCCGCCTTGGGTGCTTCGGGAAGAGCCGAGGGGGGCTGGGTTGGCTGCCCTGTCGCAGCAACAGGGGCAGCTGATGATGTGAGCAATGAAACGCCCCTCGGGCCACAGGTGGGGCACCGGAGGGTGTGCGCGCAGGTCAGGCCAACACCAGGGGAGTGGATGGCCACACAGAGCCTTCCTCTCGCCTTACGGACCTGGGCAAGTTGTAGAGAGGCGTCATGCGGAAGCAGGCCACCACGGCGCGCCGGCGTTGCTTGGAGAGCAGCTTGTGCCACACGGCCTTCTTGGACTTGTAGGGGTGCTCTGTCTGCAGGACGGCAACAAGGCTCGCTCAGGCCGGAGGCCAGCACCCCTCCCGCTTTGCCGCCAGCCTCTCCTGAGCCGCCTTCCCTCTCCTTGCCCAAACGTGTTCTCTTTTGGACTCTCTCTCTCCCCGAAGGAAAGGCGGGAGACTTGAGGGTAACATCAGGTGCGCAGATGTGCCTGGGGGACAACTAGAACGCAGGAACACGCGTGTGCTGCGCTTCTGGAGGTCATCCTAAATGCACTAGAGCTAACTGGGCACCCCAAGCTGCACTGAGTTGTCCTGTGCGATCATCCTTCAAGCTGTCAGCGTGTGCAGCTATTTTAATTAGCGCCTCCTCTGGCAAACAATGTGGCAACTGCTTTGGTAAGGCCCCTTAACATGAAGGACAGCCGTGCTGGCCCTGGGCAGTTGCCTAGTACCCCGCATGGCTTATTGGGCCCAGCGTTCTCTGCTTCTACCTGTTCCAGGTGGTAGAGCACCGCAGAGACTTCCTGAACGCGCCTGACGATCTTCTCTGGGTTGTTGCTGTCTTCGGCTTTGCCGGACATCTCCCTGTAGAGAGCCATCTGCCAACGCATCGAAGAGGAATTCTCACACTGCAGAACAAACGGAGGAGTCAGTACAGCTGAGAATAACGGGAAACAGCCGCCCCGCATCAAGAGACCAAAGGGTCGGCCTCACCCGCAGCTCCACACTTTGCCTGACAACCTGGAAGTGCAGGATTGATACAGGCAGCTTGGGAAAGGGCAGAGGAGCTGAGGACAACTCCGAGACGCTGGAAGAAAAGCACGTTCCTACTGGACTCCATGCATACGGACAGAAGGAGCATTCATGAAGAAACTAGTAGCAGTGGCTGAACAGAGACCTTCAAAGTGGACCAGAGAGCCTTAGAGGAATTCTAGGCTGCACACAGCTAGGAATGGACAGATCAGTCTGTTTCTGGCCTTTTGTATGCATGTGCTGATGCTTATTCCATCCCACTTCTGCATTAATCTGCAAAGGCCATGTATTTAAAAAATTAAGTAAATACTTAATACTTAAGTATATCTTCTATTTTTCCCCTCAAACAGTTTTAAGCATGCTCGAGACATGTTATTTGACCTAAGAGCTGTATCGTAACATTCAGAGAAGTGTGGAATCCTATACATAGCTCCATGCAATTAGTCTCGAAGGGTATGACTCAGCCAGCTTGTATTGCAATTTGCAGAGACTGAATTCCTCAGGCATCCCCATGCAATGGAACAGCAATCACCTTGCCCTGAAGGTGCAGGTTGTTGTTGAGGTATTCACGGACCTCCTCATCAGTGTCTTTCTGGGGAGAGAGAGGGGGAGAGCACATGCATTCACGTTAGCAGAACTGCAAGAGTTGCTCCTGCACTATTTGCAAAAAAGTATGCGTGATCTAAACTGTCCACACAAGTTTTGTGTGTGTGTGTGTATGTATGCAGATACATTTTTAGATTGTTTACTGTGATTTTTATATATCAATATTGATGTTACTTAAATGTTGTCCTGGAGGGCCTTTCTCCTAAAAATCCTAATTTTCATGAATAAATAACTAAGTAAATCCAAAGGCAATCATGTTCAGGGTAATTGTGAGGATATCCCAGAGTTTTCCTTTCCATTGCTTAGGTGAACTAGCAACATTTACATAATTTTAAGAAAGAAGTGCAGATATGGGGCTTATGCCACAGGCTTTCAGCCTGAGGGAGGAGATGGATTCTGTTTGAATGAACTTCTTAGCATCAAGCTATTTCCCTAACAGGTGGGATTATAATTTTGCCGGTCTCCTTCATTAACAAATTCTGCAATATTCCTGTTTTGTATCACAAAATGAGCCCACCTGGCCGGTTTAACATAATACAGGTTGTGGCGGAAGCTGAAGCCAGTTGTCCCGATCTGCTTGGAAGGAACTTGGGCTGGGGGTGGGGGAATGGGCTGACACTACACTTCACTTGTGGACTTCCCATAGGCTGCGGGTTGGTCGCAGTGTGACTATAAAGCTGGACCAGATGGACTCGTCTAGTGCCTCTCTCCCCCCCCCCCCCCCCCCAGAGGGTTCCCTGCATCCTGCCCTCCCCAGTCCTTGCCCAAGCTCTCTCTCACCAAGGCATAACGATTCTTGGCCATGTTTATCAGCTCCTGGTCCGTGGGAGAGCACATGTTCAACCCAATGGGAAGCATCTTTTTCAGGGTAGCCACAATAAGCGACGTCTGCACGGAGTATCGGTCCCCCCGGCGCTTCTTCTTGGTCCTCTCCTGGTCCGATCCACCCGACTGGGAGAAAGATTAGGAGAGGAAGGCGGGGGTCAGCGCAGAGCAGGGGAAGGGTTGGCCACCCAGGCTGTCCCACAACATGCCAAGAGATCGGCTGGGCAGAAGCTTAGCAGCCAAGCGCCGCTCTGACATGGGGATTCGTGGTAGGGGGTGAACCAACTCAAGGTCTTTCTGTCGGAAGAATATGGGGTGCTTCTTTCCTTTGCAGAAGAGGATAAAGAGTCCAAATGTCAGCCCAGCCTTGGCTCCCACTATGCTGTGAAGCTGAGGCCTGCTCCAAATGCCTTTACTATGCACACAGAATCTTCAAACCAGGGACTGAAAAGCAGGGAGAGAATCAGTCCATTGCAGCTTCTGGGATATTCTGTCTGGAGGCTGCGGTCCAAAATCCTACAGCATGCAGTGGCTTTGCAATCTACAGTCTGAAGACAGGAATAAGTACTTGCACCAGGATTCGGAAGCCACAACATGTATGGCTTTTCCTGTGTTGGAGAGAACTCTCTGTGTAGGGGAAACTTGTACTAAAGTGGGGATGAGAAAGAAGCAGATATATATACAGAGTGTGGGACTGTGGAATCCGAGGCAGAAACAGGAGATGGGGCTGAGGGTTGGAAAGAATGAATCTGGACTTTCCAAGGGATCTAGGCAGGTTATAGTGGAACTGATCAGGGCTCGCGGCTACAAGAAGGGAGGTAATACAGGAGACCCTGTCTGGGGATCACAGCAGGCAGGGATGGGAAAAAGTGTTTGCTTTCTCAGGCAGCAGTGCCAAATCCCCGTGTGCCGGGATGACCAGGTGCCTGGGATTCCACCAGCCACACAGAAAGAGAATGCGACATGGAATTTCATCAAGATGGGTGTGGTTGAGTTGGAATGAATGGGCAGGCATCCCCCTCCCTTGAAAAGAAAGAGCAAGACAAAATCAAGACGGCAACCAGCCCCCCTGCCACCGTTGCCCTCCTACAGTCAGTCAGCCTTGCGTGAGAGCTTTTCTAACGTCTGCACATAACCGCACACAAGACACACAGCGCCGTTGGCAGCCAAGACACATAATCTATCGCATGTGGCATCCTGGGCAGCTCCTTCCTCCCTCCCACGTGGTGGCAGGGCAGCAGGGTTGACGGATGTCACAGGAAGCGGATTATGGACTCTGGGACCAGCAGAGTAGGCAAGAAAACGGAGGTGGCAGGTACAGGAACACCAAGATATTAACACGGATGAGAGCGATGGGGCCCACTGCATGCTGGGAGAGAAAGGTAGCTTCTTGGAACCCAAGAATGGGCGCCCTCCGGGAAGGGGCCTTTCCGCATCAGAGACTTCAGGGCAGCCTGCCCGGGGAGGATGAACGGCGTGTCCTCGCATGTCCGGGTGACTCCGAGGGTGGCGCCTGCCCGAGGGCACGAGGGAAGCGGGGTCCCACTGACAGGGAGCGTGATGGCTCATCGATGCGAACCCATCAGATGCAATGATGCGTTGCTGCCAGAGCTGCGGAAAGCCACTGCGCTCTTGCCATCACCCATGCAACCGCGTCCCCTTCCCTCCCCCTCCGCCCCTGGTCCTCTCATCGTGATTCCCGCCACTCTGCTGAGGGGAGGGGAGGGTCGCGGCACTGCACCATGCTGCCTCCGTGGGGCCCAACGATGGCAATGGAGGGGGGCAACGGAACGGCGGTGGTTTCGCTAACCTGGCCTTCTCCAGACTAAACTCCCACATGGCGCAGGGAGAAGAGGGAGATAAGACAGAAGAGGAGAAAGAGAAGGTTAGATGAAGCAGCAAACCTCCACAGTCTTGGCACGAGGCCCTGCCACCCAGAATGCGCCAGGTCCAGGATGTAACACAAGTTCCCACTGGCCTGTTTCACCTTCCCCACCACCAGCCAGTCCATCAACAGAGTAAGAACAGCTGTCCACAGAAAGAGGCCCAAGACAGAATTTGACTGCCAAAGCATCTTGCAGCTCCCCACAACTCCTCGCCCAAAAGAGGAAAACCATGTTTCTAGTCATCATTAGTTGCAAGAGGAGAGAAAACATGCAGGAAGGGGTTGCTGAGGGAAACTCGAGCAGGACACCCAGAAGTCACAGCTTTGCTCCTGACTTCCCTAGACTGCTCCACGGATCTTCAACCCACTGCCCTCTCTCTGTTCTATCCAAAGGTGATCTGGATGGTCTTTGCTTGTTGCAAACGGACAAACATTTAATTATGCGAACAGAGGTAGGGCTGACCAGGAGCTTACTGGCTGGCCCAAAATAATAATAATAATAATAATAATAATAATAAT